ACACCTTCTCCAGTAGTGGCGTCATCGAGTCCGCTGTCGTCTCCGGGTCCATTTTCAATGCTTCTGCTGGAGTTCCATCTGGTACTGCTGCTTTTCTACCTTTTGGCATCTTGATTGCATTCAGGACTTCTGTTCTTGTCGGGGGGTTGATGTTCACTGGTAGTTCTGTTTCCGTTGTTGGTATTTCTTTGTTTTTGAGGTTAATATTTTTCAACTCTTGAATACGAGTAAGGATAGACCTAATAGAAATCAATGATGATAAGTTATGATATCTGTAGTATTTTATTGAGTGCTTTTGTGGACTTCTCCTTAACGATGTAGGAATATAATCGCTCTGGGGGAGTTGGGAGCTAAGAATCTTCTCGGGTGCAACAACATCATGAGTTGAGTTAATACTGTGATAAAAACTGTTAAAAATTGCCTCTAAGGACTCGTTCGAATATTACGATCCCCAAATGCAGCACCGAATTAGACGCTAGTACAAGTCCCAACCTGCATGTGTGAACAATGTTATCGGTATCTGACCGGCTTCATCTGTGCGTTTTGTTTCAGGAGAGATGTTAAAAGAACGCGCTAATATTTTGTGGTCACTACCTGGAAATTTATGTCCCACATGTACTGTAGATGGTGTTATGTGGTTCATGAAATTAAGGGTTAGGAAATTTTTGGGTCTAGTGGGTGATTCTGTGTGTTGTGTCACCCTCCTATGATGATGGAATTCAGAAGACTATCATACCTTTGAGGCCGTCGGAGTGAAAGCCATAACACTTCTGGTATGTTGAAATCACCTCCAGTAATTTTGTAGAAGAAAGGAAATTTGGCTGACACATTAAAAATGTTGCTGAGTATAATATCCTACTCCCCGCTGGGTGAAAGAGGTCACTTCACACAACCCATAAGTATAGGTTTAGTTCTGACAACTTTTATTTTGAATCAAATCGAGTCATAGAGTTGTCACAGAGTTGGGTTACAAAACTGGGTTGCACACATGAATTGTACACAGTAAATTAATGTGTCACCCCCACGGACTGTCTCTCTGCCCCTACCAATTTGCTGCAAAAGCAAAATGCTCAGATATAGTTGTTTCAGCAGGCAACTTCGGTACCTAAGTAGGGAAGCTATGCCACACTGGAAGGTATATGAGTACTACCCACGGGGCTTGGTGGTATCTAAATTTCTAGACTCAATAATCATGCGTAGACAGAACAGTTCTCGGGAGGAAAAAACACGACAGAACCAGGCAGGCTTTAGACCAGGAAGAGGGTGTACTTATTATATCTTCACCCTTCGAAAGATTCTGGAACGGAACATAAGCACACTTACCGGCGTTCAACACTTGTCAAATTTTTTGACCTAAAGGCGTTATTCGATTCTGTCGGCCGAGAGGTACTCTGGCGATGTTTGGCTGTAAAAGGAATGCCGAGAAAATACATCGCACCGATCAAGGCACTCTGATCGGACTCATCCAGTCAGCCAGGTGAGTTGTCATCTGAAGTGGTGACAACTAGTGGAGTCCGTCAAGGATGTCCACTATCCCAATTTCTATTTGATTTCATCACAGATGTACAGATGGAATTAACCCTAACTGCTGACTTCACCGACTGAAGGATTGACTTGTCACCATCAGGGAATAATCTCGTTGACTTAGAATATGCAGATGATATCGTACTTTTAGTCGAAGACGCTGACAAAATGCAGTCTTCTGAACACATTTAGCAGCAGAAATCTTCGAATGTCTTGCGTGCGATTCGCCCCTGTCAGTCAAATGTAAGATGATGCTACAGGACTGGAATACATTGACTCCTAGCTTGGAAATAGGGAGTGAGGTGGTAGAGCGTGTTGACCACTTCACTAATTTGGGAAGATGCATCAGCCAGTCCCAACGGGTTGATCGCTGACGAAATCTCAGCACGGATACGGAAAACGTCTATGGAACATGCCAACTTACGCTATCTCTGGCTTAGTAGGCGTAATAATAATATATTGCCACTTTTTGTACGTGAGGGACGCCAGTTTTCAGGCATCATCAATATGATAAATTACATATACGATTAGTAGGCGTATTTAATAATAATATGATAGAATACATACTTATTCCTACCTATGTAGGACACACCATTTTAATAGGCATGGATAAGTATTATTTAAATTACATGAATTTGATTTATAGTTAAATTACATCGCCACTGTCTTTTTTGATATTAGTTTTTGGGTACAATCTGATAACTAGTCATTCAATGGAGTACGTTAAGAAATGTAGAAATATTGTCTTTGCATTAATAAAAAACCTGAGTATGTGTTGGATGGATTACAAATATTTGGGAAAAAATAAAGCTTGAAATCATTTCCTTTATATAACAACGAAATGGATCTTATGATAATATTTTCAAACTTTATGTACATGAGGGACTCCAGTTGACAGGCATCATCAATATGATAATAATGTAATCATGGAGTAAGCATGTTTGCAATTTTTCACTGACACAAGTATATACAAGGGAAGGTAATGGAATAATGACAGTAAGCATACTTTGCATCAGCTAAAACAATTTATATGATATAATTTCAGGCACCATTAGTGTTTGAATTTGTCGACAATGCACGTAACAACTGAGTGATGCGTTACATTTGGTCGATATGGTGGGCTACTCAAAAAGTATAAAATGGCTTAAAAAACGTTAGTTAGTTTACCGTAAACGATGTTTTAAGCAATATAATCTGCAAGAGACCCACCACAGCAGTTATTGCCCAGTTAAACATGCTACATCGATTGAAATGGTTAGGATACGTGTTACGGATGGTTAGCCGTTGCCTTCCTCCATGTGCAATGTTAGCTGACATAGGAAAGATACGGTTGGAAAAGAGATAGTGGTGATCAAACCAGAACTTGGCATCAGCTAATGAAATTCACAACAGTTAGTTTGAGCTAGACACGTAGGGAGATGTAGACTTCCTGACTGGTTGGGGTTCTCACGATGGTAAGAACCAGTGAAGGCTGGAGGCAATCGTTCATAAGGCTCAAAATCGTTGTCAACGACTGAAGTTGATGCAGTTGCTTGTGATGATTTGTCATATCCAATAAGACTCTATTGTTCCTCCGTATTGCAATTCGTTTTGCCTCTTCCATTTATTATCTCTCTTTTGAACCTCTGCCTACTTTCTTCCCTCGCTTTGTGTGCTACATGGAGGGAGAGTGGCAAGTCGAACTGTTGCACATTTTTACAAAGTCCTACGTTGAAGCCAGTCAGTCAGTCATTCCAATGTTCGTCAACATTGACAGCAATTCAGAAGCTCCAGTTTCCCATAAGACATTTCTGCAGATTCCTTTATACTGTGTTCTGTGGTGCTGCTACAGTCATTGCACCAGTATGCGAATAGCTTGCAGCAACAACTGTATCCTTCAGGGGTCAGGCTGGTGTATTAAAACTGGGACCACCAATTGCAGTTGATTCGTTGCACACTATCCACTATTGTACAGTGTCACACTAGCCTCTTACAACGGATTTTCATTACTAGAACGTAAATGTACTACCAGAAAAATATGGCAGGTATGATCTTAAGAAACGAAACTAAGGTTTATAAAGATTACGAAAACTGGAAAACTATGGTATATTAACTATAAACTTTCAACCCTGAAAAAGTGCAAAGTAGTGAAATTACGCACCTGTAGACTGCAGAATGCAAGTTACACCTTTTGCGAAGAAAGCTTGTCCTGCACAACGTCAAAGCGTGCCTAGGTCTAGTTCTAACGAAGAAAATGGACACCAGCGTAAATTACGTGTGGGATGTAGCGAGGGCATATGCAGTCATACACTTCACGCATAGACAGTTAGGTGCACTCACTCCTGAGCTCTTTCTAAGGTTGTACAAAACATACGTTAGACCACACCTTGAAGTGCATAATATCATTGCACCCCCAGTGGTTAGAAGAGACGCAAACTACTTGGAAAGAGTTCAAGGACGGGCGCCAAAAGGAGCGTTTGGTCGCCGAAATAAACCGTTTGATGGAAGACTGAATAAATTAGGCCTATCCACGCTTAACTATCGTCGGCTTAGGGGGATTTGATTACTTCCCACAAGATAACAAATGACCAGAATCACTCAAACAAAGGTGTTCTGTCATTCGGTAGATATGGGCTTCCTCGGGGAAACCCCGATGGCAAGGACTCTGGTGTGCCCCCATTTTTTACAGCTAGTTTGCCGTCCCTGGAACTCCCTACTGTCAGATGTAGCTACGGCACCGTCTGTGGACATCTTTAAGTGAAAGCTGGACAGTCATGCAGTAACGGAAGGACTGCGTCCGTTACACCATTCAGGGGTAGACGGCTAAATTCTTCATTTTACTTCTCTGCATTCTCGCCCATCTCACTCTTCTGGCTACTCCGACTACTACACTTACACTTATTATTATTGATGTTATATATTTATTTATATATGTATATACATATATCAACTTCAAATTTAATTAGCAGTCTGTTTTTACGTTTTCTTTATTTCATTTTCTGCCTTTTAGTCTGAATAACCTACACTAATTATATCTATTATCATTATCTCTGTTCTTTTGACAACTATATCGGAGGTCTAACTGGTGAAAGGATCAACTCCATTCACATTAGTAACAGTCTAAACACACTGCATACTTCAAACAATAAATAATTAATCCCAGCACTACTCCTCTTGGAGTCAACCGAAGCTACAACAGTCGAGTGGCCGGGAGAACTACATAGAAGTTTATCGAAGACCAGGAACCTTTACCTCACAATCAAAAGGCGAGCACAACGAAATCAAGTTGGTTTTACTAGCTCATAAAAACGATATTGGATAAACTAGTAAAAGGACGAACTTCCTACGAATAAGTCAACTTGAAACCTATAAAAAACTGACTTAAATGGAATAACGTGGTTTAGAGTTGGACCGTAAGTATTTTCTGCGTTAAACACAACTAAAGCTGGATTTAAACAAGAGTGTGCTGAAATTCCCACCATTTTCAAAATTCGCGCGCTATCTCTTCTTGCTTCTGCAAGGTCGTGACGTCTCAGAAGATCAGACAGAAGAGTAAGAAGACCAAGAAGACTGTTGTGAAATACTTGTTATTACACCGATTTATAAACTCCTGAAGCCGCTTTCCTGGAGAAGTGGTACCTTCGCCCTTTGCTGATCTACTCAAGAAGGGACCAGAAAGAAAGCGATACCACCAAGGAGAGGATCTAAACAGCCTCAAAGCTCCTTATCTTCAGCGAAAAATCTGTGTCATCTAAGTGTAATATACGCCTAGCAAGGCGCCTAAAGCGACCGTGAAGGTCACCTACAAAGGTTACTACTCAGATGAGTGGTGATCTTACCCGTGGTGGTCATTCCCGCTCACTTTCCTTTTCTGACCAAGATTCATACGAAAGTAAGTCTTCCAATATTGCTTCTAACTGTCTGTTATATTTGTGTGTAAAAAATGTATCGAAATAACAAGAACTTTTAGCATATTGCCTAACTTTCAAACCGTATTAGGAAATATTATCCGTTCTTTGACAAAGTCAAGTAGTAGTAATGCAAGAAGAACGAACGCACTAACGGCCTTCAAGTGACCAATAGTTTTAACCCGGCCAATTCGCGCGAAAAAAGAGAAACAGAGAAAAGTATCCATAATAAAGAATGACAAATCGAAAGAAGGATATCCCATTTAGTCTGATTGTTCTTTCCCAGCACTTCTTTCCGTACATGGTTGATTTCTTGTGACATCGTTTCACTTCCTTGATCTGATTACGCGCTAGAAGGTCATTGGTGAGAGGTCACTCCTTGGATCACTATTCTTTAAGTTGGCCTCAGTTGTCTAGTAAAATATATTAAATCTTCTTCGCAGTTATTGAAAAGTGTCACATTAATGTTAAGCACAGTCATGCTGAGGGATGCGTGTTTGAGACAAGAAGTGCGTAAGTATACACTATAGTGTAATGGATGTCCGTTACATTTTGTCTTGAGAATCATATACTGTATAGCATGTCTTAGTTGCGCAACTCCTTTTCCATTGCATCTAAACGCACAATTTTTTGATTTTTCGTTTAAACCTTAACTCTCCGTGTATCAGTTATACATAAGTATAATTTCTGAGTACTTATTATAATAAAGGTTTTTTTGTATTTCCCAGTGAATGAAAAATAAAACGATATTGTTTCTACTGACGTTTCGCTATTTAATGGTAATAATTTTATCAAAGTAGTATTAAACCAGAATTTACACAATCCACTCAGCTTATATATAACAACTTAATCATCGTTCCTCAGTATGGGGTCACTTTTCCGTTGTCAAATTGGCCAATTGGTTCAGGTAACAAAACCAGGTGTAGATTGTTGGATTTGATCAGTGTGTAAAATTATAAAAGCAGCATGTGTTTACATAATGAAATTGCTTATCACATTCGTGTTGATTTTGTCATTTCATGGGAGAGGGGCGTGTTGTAACCACCTCAAATTCTGTTTTAGTCCACAATTCATTCCTATTCAGACAATTTGGATTCCACTTGATATGAAGGGCTTCTGATGATACTAGACGTTCTTTGTGATTTCTGAAATGCTTTCTCTGGATTATTTCAATATTGTCAAAATCAATTTTGTGGCCTGATTCTATAGCATGTAGACCTATGGCTGATGATTTTTCAAGCTTTTCTAGTTCAAATGGCTTTATTCCTCGGTGGTCGAACAGATGCTCTACGGTGTTCATTTCTTCTGATTTTGATTTCTCAAGATGTTTGTTCGATGTATATCGCATCACATTCCAAGCAAGCACTTTATTTTATAGACACAATTAGATACAGAATCTTTAGGGATTTAGTCTTTTATATGGACAAGTTTGCTTTGCAGTCTGTCTGATTTTTTGAAGAAAACTCTGATGTCTAGCTTATTGAGTACTCTTCTGATATCTATCGTCTGACGTCTGTGCTCAATGTGGAATGACAACCGTTGAGGCCCATTTCTTCGGAAATTTTTCAAACTGTTAAAAGTGAACTTGGTTTGGACATATATAACGTAATTTCTGAGCATTGTTTATTAATAATGGATTCTGTAGTTAACTGACATTGCAGCACCCTAGTCGGACAGAAATCAATAATGGGCATAGCCAGGAAGAATTCTGATCACATGACCTGGTTTTTCCTATTTTGATTTTAATTTCACCATTATTTTCCCATTCTAACAATTATTGAAGCAATGCTTTCCCATTTTAACCACTATATAACAAGGATTTGCCAATTATATTATCATTTTTTACCATATGCCCAAAATATGTCCATTTTAAAAATTAGTTATACATTTTTCACCCATTTTTGTCCGATTGAGACTTTTCCAAGTACGTTAAAAAATTTCCCTGTAGGTAAACTCAGTTGATATATTTTTTTTTAAAGGTTATACACAGTTGGAGAGAAACCTACAAAATGAATAATGGTACCTTCTTAATCTGCATAAACTACTATTCTTGCTCTATCATTTGTACTTTTGTGCACTTGTATATTTTCTGAGGGAATTTGATTCGTGGCGAAGTTAAAGCGTCACAGCCAAAGTCAAGGTCTGTCAGATTTAGGGGACTCTATGAAAGGTCATTCCAAATTTAGTCATGTCTGCCTTTTTGAATTTGGTAACGGAAAATACAATATTCAACTTATTCCCTAGGTACTTTTTCTGTAAATCTATCCTGTTAGGTAGACTTATGGCTTTTAAGATTAAGGTTAGTGTCTACGGTTAAAGTTAGGACTAGGGGTTAGGTTGACGGTTAGAGTTAGGAGTAAGTTAAAGAACAGTCTCATAAATATCTATGGATCTCAAAGTTAAGAACACAATATTCAGCGGTGGTAGAGACTCTCGCCAACAACGAATTTATTATCAAGCTGTACAATCGTATATACACATATGGCTTTTAAGAAATTATATCCGGTGAGGGAATTAGATCAAAGGTGTGAACACATGAAATAATAATAGTAGTAGTAGTAGCATGAAATGCAATTAAAATATTTGTGATTCTAATCATAGTTGAATGTCAAGTAGCAAAACAATCAATGTCATATATAGAATAATACATAAGATGGATGTATAGATGTTGTTGGGATGGGGTGCATAATTATAAGATTAGTAGGCGAATATAAAATGTTACATGATATGGTGTGAAATTTGATAAGATAGAATTCAATATTGTAAAAATTGAAAAAAATAATAATTTTGGATTTAGAATGACAAGTGGGACAAGCGGAAACAATTCAGAGTGAGAATGGTAATAATAATCGTAGTAACGAGGGTCGGGTACATAGAATAACTAAAGGTCTATCCCTCTACGGCCAAGGCAGAAGCAGGCATTGTACATACCTCTTTTGTACACAAAGGTCTGGCTTAAGTTCATGAATGGGCAGGGCTTCCGCTGTGTTTAGAAGTCTATAACGAAGATAACGCATCCGGCAAGTTAGCATGGATTCGGTGGATGATCTTAAAATCATGTTCAGGGTTAGTAGAGTGACAGGAGTCGATCAGGTGTTCTAGAATAGAGCTTCGCACACTCTTCCTTTCTCCCTTGTAAAACCATGCAGCTGGAATATGTTCTCGTATCCGCGGCGAAAGCGTCCTTTGGCGTCCTCTCAAAGTACCATAGTCTACAGTCACCTGGATGAATACATCTATCACGCATGGTATCATTTCTGTATAGGTTGTTCGTGTAGTGACTGGGAGATATAAGCGACAATTATCCAGCATAATATCATTTTTGCAACGTTTTTCAACGATTATGTGACTTGAACAAAGCAAGAACAACAATTGTACCAGGATAATATGAGCTCATCGTTTATTATTTCGAGGATTCTTCTCAACTAGTTACATCCTGAACGATAAAAAAATATGAATTACATTACATTAAAGATTTGAACATACTTTTCTACGATCACAAGGAGTAATTGGTAGGAAGTAAAAGTAACATTAGTCCGGAATGATTTAACTAATTGAGAGTTACAAACACTGACTATTTATAGAATAACTCAAATGGGCTGTGATCAATATTTGAGTTTATAAATATTTATAGAATAAACAGGCAATTAGGCTTAGAAACAAAAGCAAAGTTGCATATATATATATATATATATATGTGTATAGAAACAGTAGAGAAAAAGCCTATCTTTCTGCAGCTTGCATTCAAAGGTGATGATACTGCCAGTAAAATAAGATGCAGACTGAACGCTGCCCTGAAAAGAATATATCCAGCCGCCAAGCTTGTATGTGTTTATCAAACAACTAGTTGTTTGAGACAATCAAAAGTGGACAGATACCCACCTCATATTACCTCCAACTGTGTCTACCAATTTACATGTACGTGCCAAAGCACATACATCGGAAGAGCAGAGAGAAGGGTTATTGTCCGCATTTCTGAACACATACCAAAGAACCTGAGACTGAAAGGTCCACAAGTATTAAACAGTGCAATTCCGCATCATCTATTAGACACTGGTCATAATGTAGACAACTTGAAGTCATTCAAAATAATCAACAAGCAAAAGAAACCTAACTTGCTACGCTTTGCTGAAGCAATTGCTATTAGACGACTTAAACCAAATCTATGTACGCAGAAAGAGACAGTGGTGAATCTTGCACTGCCCTGGTGACAAAAAAATATATACAACTTGTATGAGTCACCTTTTTCTTATTTAGAAAACTCTACTTTCTCACCTAAACATGACTCACCCTTTCTTGTTCGTTTTTTCTTCCTTTTTCTTCTATTGGCTATTAGATAAAGCATTTTCTTTAGTTACGTAATCTACCTTTTTGTTATGCTCTGTCTAGCTTAACCTTGTTTCTATACATATATATATATATATATGCAACTCTGTTTTTGTTTCAAAGCCTAACTGCCTGTTTATTCTATAAATATTTATAAACTGTCAAATATTGATCACAGTTCATTTGAATTATTCTATAAATAGTCAGTGTTGTAACTCTTAATTAGTTAAATAATTCCGGACTAGTGTTACTTTTACTTCCTACCAATTACTCCTTGTGATCGTGGAAAAGTATGTTCAAATCTTTAATGTAATGTAATTCATATTTTTTATCGTTCAGGTTGTAACCAGTTGAGAAGAATCCTCGAAATAATAAAAGATGAGCTCATATTATCCTGGTACAATTGTTGTTCTTGCTTTGTTCAAGTTTATTAATGGGAAGAATTGCATGAAGATTATGTGACTTTTTACATCTGAACTATGATCGGTTGCTCAAGATCACTGCAACTTTGGCTATGGTAGTTTAACTTTGCCCAACTCGTTATATAACTTTGGTGCACTGGCCTAAGCACTTCTCTAAGTACTTGGGCTGAAATCCTCCTCAATCTGTTGAAACCTAAGTAACAAGCGGGTAGTGTCATTGTCATTTAAACGATCAGGGTGTCTCATACCCTAAAGGATGTTACTTATTCGACAAATTACACCAACTAGACGTAATCTTATCACTACAAGAATCGACACACATGGTTTGTTGCCAGTTAATCCTCTTCTGGCTAGGGTAGATTGAGTATTCTTCGCAATAGAGTACTTCATCTTACCATATCTGGTAAATATGTCGATTGTAATTATGAAACTTAAGCGGCGGAGTTCAGTTAATGAGAAATTTTCATCTTTACAACAAAGCAGCCAGCTATTGTTGCGATTTTCATTTAAGCAAGAGTATATTCGTGGGTGTAAGTGGCAGATTACTGATTAGAAGTATAAACCTGTCACTTGAGATTACTAAGATTGAAAGAATTAAGGATAAATCGACCAATATTTGTTATTGTTCCACAAAATTATTGACTAATAGTTGGAGCGGCTCGAAAATGGCACAGGTCAAAAGTGATGTTGAGTGGGATAGGCTTATAAATAATTCAGTGCTGTCTTAGTTTCTGTCTCTGTCTGGATTCAACAACATAGAACTTGGCACCGAAGTGCAGCAGTTCCAGTTGCTACGTTCCAAATAGCACACAAAGGTAGACAAAAAGATGAGTGAAGAGAATCAATAGAGTTTTGACAAGTATAAGAGTGAAACAGAATGAGTAATGGTAGAAAGGAATATGAAAGATTACAGAGACTGAATACATCTGCGTAAGCCATTGACAACGATTTTGAGCCATGTCACCTATTGTCTCCAGCCATTGATTCTTAGAGTCCCGAGGGCGGGCCCCAACCCGGAAGTCTGCATCTCCCTACCTGACTCAGTGTAACTGTCAAGGATTTTATGGATTGATGCTGTTTTTGTTTGGCCACCGCTTACTCTTTTCCAACCTGCACCTATATCAGCTAGCTAGTAATGCCCGTCGGGGGAGGCGAGGGTTATGCATGCGCAGCACGTGACTTAGCCATCTCTATGTAACTTTATAGCCTCTTCGATTGATTTTCCCTCTTTGCCCAACACTCTACGCCTAACGTCAGCATTACCTACTTTATTATGCCACCTAACGTGAGAAAGAGATCGTAAACATCTATGATCAAAAACAGTCAAGCTTTTCATGTCTTCAACTTGTATTGGCCATGTTTCAGAGCCATAGAGAAGGACGGAGCGAACTGCTGAGCAGTACACACGTCCCTTGATTGATAGTCGGATGTCACTCCTACGCCAGAGATGGTGTATTTAGCGAAAGCAGCCCGAGCTTTTTGGATCCGTGCTGATATTTCGTCACCAATCAATCCATTGGTGCTGATACAACTTCTTAGTCTTAGTTTACCTTGATATGATCCCCCCTCTTGATTGCGTCATCATTTTCAATCACTTGTTTCATATTTTCATTGTTATTATTGGTGTAGAGTTGTTGAGAATATATATATATATGTATATATATCGTCATTTGGGCACTTTGTTTTAAAGTTGACATCAACCTTATATGTCCGGGGGTGGGTAGTCTTCAGCCTTCCTCTTGAGATACTCTCATATGACCACGTGTTCATAGCCTTTGCGAGGTAAGTTCTTGTCACTGTCTTCATTCGGCGAGGGTGTTCTTCATAAAAGTAGAAGGGAAAATACGAACGTCTGGCGGACATGCTAACCTACTTAAAGGTATTGAAAAACCCTGATTCCAAACCTTTAGAATCTGTATGGGCTCTGGAAACCTGAAAGGATGGCTTAGCGCTTAAACTTATTTTAATCCTGACACTGCTCCACTCCCTTGTGGGTCAGATTTCAAGTCAAAAACCACCTGCTTCGATCTGGACACCCGGGCAGTATCCCAACTCTTCCAGAAGCTACCAGATTTTTTGTGGTGTATCTGTCAGTCTCCACAATATACAAGGTTTGTGTTTTAACAAATAAATAAATGACAGCGTGCGCCGGTGGCACAGCGTTAGAATGTTCACCAACCACAGCTCATGTGGTTCGGGGTTTGATCCCCGGCCACAGACGCACTCCCTTACCTCGCTAAGCCAGTAATTAGGACTGGTAAGGAAGGAACGTTGGGCTGGGCATGAGGCTAGTAACCCTATCCCGTAAAAATAAATACCACTACTACCGAAACTTCAAGCCTCTAGCTTGAAGCCCCCTATGTTCCACTGGGGGGGGGACGTGAAGGAATAAAAAATGTTTACTGGCAGTTGTTTACAGCGTACAATGTTATGAAGAAGAAAAACAAAGTTGCCTAGTGTACTGGGAAAAGTAAAAACAACAACAATGTCCCCAATTGTTTTATTTCGGTTTTTCTCCCTCCCTTTTTTCCCATAGATGCAGTGATTCGAGTTGGTGAAAATTTTCAAGTTGATCTCCCCTTGTACGAAGGTGAACCGCCACAGTCGATACTTTCAAGTGAATCCGATCATGAAGTAGTTCTATGGCGTCCAATAGCTGAAAGTTTAAATGATCAATTAGAGAAATTCATAAACACAGCCATTGAAAAATATGCGTAAGTGGTGATCCGTTTTAATTGATTGATTCAAAAAGCACATAGTAGATTGTTTCTTTTCTTTCTTCAAAATTAGTGAATGGTACTGTTCTCTTTAACTTGCTTGACTGGTTTCCACCGTAGAACTTTGCACAGATGTCCAGCAGTTCAAGTCGTCACACTTCCTTCTTGTAGCACATAAAGCAAGAGAAAAGAGTAAAGATACATTCATCGAAAGAGAGACAATAAACAGAAGTGTGAGTGAGGGGAAAAAGTATAGTAATATGGAAGAACAGTAGAGTTTTTTATAGGATATGGAAAGTCATCACAAAGAGTGATCGCATCTACTCCAGCGGCCGACAACGGTTTTGAGGCATATGACCAATTGTCTCCAGCTGTCATTGTTTCTTACCCTCTCAAGGACCTCAACCAACCAAGAAGTCCACACCTGCCTACCTGGCTGACGTAAACTGACTCTTATGAACTTCATTGATTGATGAAGCGACTAGGTCTTTTCCAGCCTGATCCTATGTCAGCTGACATTGATTGTCGAAGAAAGCAGTGTCTGGGAATGCATGAGTAACATATGTGCTAACTATCACCTCAGTCGATGTAACTTGACAACCTCGTCGATTGATTTTCCCTCCTTACCTAGCACTCAACCGATGCCTAACCTCAATATTACTCACCTTATTATACCATCTAACATGGGAAATACAACGCAGACGCCTATAAAAAGAAACAGCTAGCTAGCTAGGCTTTTCATATCTTCTACTTTGAATGGCCATGTCTGACTGACAGATATAAAGGAGGGCGGGGCGAACTTATTACCATTATAATTGTTTCCTTTAATTCCTAGAGAAACATAGGGCTTCAGCTGCACGTCTCCATTGCGTTCGATTCTCTGCCGACGTTTTCACATGTCTCCACGTCTGCCCACATGCTTTTATCACCTCTTCACATGACGACCAACTCGCCACTTGCCATTCGGGTCGCACTCGAGCGATGGCCTGACATGTGATATCACTCACTTGATGCTTTTCTCAAAGTATGACCAATCCACCTCCATTTCTTCCTGAGTATTTGTTGCACAATCGGTTTCTGAGGCGGGGCAGAGCGAAATGCTGAATTTTAATTATAACTTAATCAAATAAAGACTATTTCTGCTTGTCCCACTACGTAAATCCATAGTACTTGAATTCTAAAATTAAGCACCTGTGATATTTTAGTTATCCCTCAGTTTACTTCGTTTTATCAAGTAGTAAAAAGTTAATTTGGATACATCAAACACTCTATTCACAGCATATTTTAACTCTCCTTGCCTAGGATTCCTGTGTGCAGCGTTAATCTTACCCGCTGGGTGCTTTCATCTGGTGGTAAATATTGACAGTTGTCTACTTTTATAGACTTCTGATTTCATTTACCTTCCACAGATGTGTTTAGTTAAAAAAAGGTCTACTTCTGTATTGCATGCCTCCAGTAGTATGGGTGGAGTGAGTCAGGTAACTGTCAATTAATCGTTTCTTATATACGCTTTTGAAAGTTACAAGGGGTGAAGTATTTATGGATTACCCAGTTATATATTATTAATCATTATTATTCCCTTGTGTTCTGAGTGGAACATAGGGCTTCGACAACACATCTTTACATTGTTCCATCTTCTACCGCCATCTTCGTCTGCGTTTACGATTGCCCATAGTCTCTCATCTCCTCCTCGCCACACGATCTACTCCATGTCACCCTAGGATGACCCACTCGTCGCTTCTCATTGGGATTGCACTCGAGGGCCTGACGCACAACGTCGTCCGACGGTCTCCTCAACGTGTACCCATTTCCATTTTCTCCCACATGTTTGTTGAGCGATCGGCTCTTGATTGGTTTGTTGCTAGAGTTTCTCGTTGCTAATTCTTTCTAGCCATTTGATCTTCAGTATGGAGCCAGTGAAGGTGGCAGCTGTTGATGAAAGTCTGCAGCCTGTTGGGAATCCTTTTCGTAACACTTTGACCAAGTTTCTGACCCTTATAGAAGAACCGACTTCACATTGGTGTTGAAAGTGAGAATCTTATTCCCTACGCTGAGTTCGGAAGATTTCCAAACTGGTTTCAGGTTGATGAAGGCCTGTGTATCTTGCCTTTCCGGTTCTGGCTGGTTGGCTTTGACATCTTCGTCCGTTCCGCCTGTAGTTGAAACGATGCTTCCTAGCCAGATAAGTGAAGGAGGTGACCTCTGTCAAATCTCTCCCGTTGGTGATTGGTGCTGGTTGTTGTTGTTGTTGTTGATACGGTTCGTTGGTTACCTTCATCACCTCCGTCTTCTCTGCGTTCACCTGCGGTACTGTCTTCGTTGCCTCTTCAGCCAGTTGTTGGTTTTCGTTTGCAAGTCTTCGAGTTTGTGTGACATCATAGATAAATCATCTGCGAAATCCACATCTTCCAGAGACTTCTTATAGGTCGTCCAGCGTATTCCTGACTCCTCGCCCCCAGCAGTCTGACGCATAATCCAGTCGACCAATATTAAGAATATCATCGGTGATAATAGGCAGGCCGACAGCCAGCTTGTCTTACTCCTGTATTCACTTCGAACGCCTCGCCGGGTTTTCCACTGTAGATCACTTGACACGTGGTATTGTCATATAGCCAGCTGTGGCTGAATGAGGTTGACAAAGACTTGAGGTATGCCGTAGTGTTGAAGTAGTTTCCAAATTACGTGTTGGTCAACGCTGTTTGTCGAAGGCCTTCTCGAAGTCGATGAAGTTGAGGTATGGAGAGGTTTGACTGCCATTCTATGCTTTGTTCTGTGATGACGATGCGTATAGTTGCAATTTGATCAGCACATGATTTGCCTTTCCTGAATCCAGCTTGTTCCCGGTGTGGGGCAGAGTTCTCCAGCCAGTGCATCCTTTATTCTCTCCAGAATGATTCGACTTAGTATTTTCTTTGGCGTGCGTGGACAAGAGCCTGATTCCACTCCAGTCAGTTCTTGCAGTGGCATTAGTCGCCCTTCTTTGTTAGCTTGACAAGGTAACCAGTCTTTCTTCCAACCAATAGGCACTGATTGGAATTACATTAAATTAAAATTGACAATATGTTCAACCGATGTCTTTTTGTGTGGTGTGTTTTTAAGATATCACTGCGACGGATCGAGAACTTCATGAACAACGGCTTATGTCGAATGTGTTACACAAACTCAAAATTCTCCAGGCGCAAACAAACAAGTCGGGCAGAAGAGGCAGCAGTCAGAGAAGACAAAACTTCAAGGGAACGTGTAAAATACACTAGTGACTAAGGTAACAAGCAGCACCAATCAACATCAATGGAAGGCATTTGAAAGAGGTCACTTCTTTTGCTTATATTTAGTCAGCATTGTCTTAACGGCAGGCGGCAAAAATGAAAATGCCAGTCAGTGACCTTGATCGGAAAAGCACCTAGGCAGAAACTAGTTTTCAAAATCTACTGCACTTAGTATATAAAATAACAAGACGTGGATTTTCAACACTAATGTGAAGTCAATGCATCTCGTATGGTTCAGAAAGTTGGCGCACCACTGAAAGCATTCCCAACAGGCTGCCTTTGTTGGCTGCATACTGAGGATCAGATGACGAGAAAGGATAAGCAACAGGGAATTCTGGAAACGAACGAACCAAGAACCCATTGCGGAAAAAATATACCGAAGAAAATGGAAATAGACTAGACACAGGCTATTCTGAGAAGACTTCTGAGTGATATCGCTCATTCAAGTGTTGGTCTGTAGAGATTTGATTGATTGGTTACAGGATTTCATGATGAGCTGATATTGGTTAGAGAACCATTGGAAAACTACCAGGGAGTACTGGACAGTTGTTTCGTCCTAGTTTGGTATTCTTCATCGGTACGCTTCCACCACAGGGGTTCAAATCTTGGACCTTCTGGTTACAAGGTGGCGAACTCGTAGAGCATTAAGCCACTGGGACTCGATCCAATGGTCAGCCCATGAATTCTAACTTCTGCCAATTCACGATATAGCGCGACCGCTAGCCAGTCTCATCGATGGCGAGTATTTGTCCTCACACCCGACCTGCTGCACCCTACTGGTCACGACTGTGGTGGTGGGTGCGTACTGTTGAAGAGTCCTAAACTATGACGAAACAACTGTCCAGTACTCACTGGTTTTCCAATGGTTCTCTAACCAATGTCGGCTCATGATGAAATTCTGATATCGCTCAGTAGTCCCTCGAGTGGAACCCGATTGGGAAACGACGAGTTGAGCGCTGATCCGAAGGTGACGATCCGATGGAGATCCTGCAGTAGGGAAATGAGATCTTATGGGAAATCGTAGAGGACTGTAGAAAACAGGGCGGAATAAAGATGTACTGCTAAGGCGCTATATTCCACTCGGAACCCAAGGGAATAATAATAATAATAACAATAAACTCAAACTTGGCGTCAATACATGATATCTTCAAATGTTGGTTTGAGTCATATATAGAGGGGTCTGTTTATGTATCACCAACAGTCTCCCGTCATTAGTTCTTACTGTCTCTAGGATCCCAAGCACGTAGTATACACCCTCGAAGCGTCGCTCAAACCAACGGTCAGAGACTTCATGGATTGGTGCCATGTTTTGATTCGACTACTCCTAACACTTCTTCACCCTGATCCCGTGTCAGGTAACATTGCTTGACGAGAGAAGCTACTGTTTGGCGTGCGTGATACATGCCCTTATTACTTAACACTCTACACTTAACCTTAATATAAAACATCAACACTTGTGATTATAGACAGATAGTCTCTTCAAATCCTCCAATTCCAACTTCTATATCTCATAACCATAAAGAATGATTGGGAGAACTGCTGCACAGTACCCATGTTCTTTGATTCAATTATTACTGGGGTACAGTCTTGTTGACTTACAATATGCAGATGATATAGTCCTCCCTCCTAGGTGAAGACGCTGATAAAATAGAACAGAGTCTTCTGAATACCCTGAGCAGTAATCTTCGAGTGTTTGGCATGTGGTTTACTCCTGTCAAATGTAAGCTGATTCTACAGGACTGGACTACGTCCGACTCCTAGCTTCGAGATAGGGAGTGAAGTGGTAGAGCGTGTTGACTACTTCACTTATTTGGGAAGTTGCATCAGCTAGGCCCAACGGGCTAATCATTGAGGAAGTTTCAGCACGGATACAGAAGGCTCGTATGACATTTGCCAACCTGCATCATTTCTGGCGTAGATGTGATGTCTGATTATCGATCAAAGAATGTGTGTAGTGATCAGCAGTTCACTGTGAGAGATTTCCATTGAAAGTGGAAGACATGAAAAGCCTGACTATCATCTGTCTTTCATCATAAGTGTCTGCGTTCTATCTCCCATGTGAATTGAGGTTGGGCATCTGTCGATTGCTAAGTAAGGGGGGAAAATCAATTAACGATACTGTGAAGTTAGATTGATTGAGATAGTGTGTTACGCGTGCATTCCTAGACGTCGATTGCCTTCCTCGATGACGGGCAATATTAGCTGACAAAGGATTGGTGGGGTTGGAAAAAGAGCTAGTGGTGGTCAAAGGGGAACGTGGAGTCAGTCAACAGTTAGTTTAAGCTAGCCAGTCACGTAGGGAGTTGGAGACTGCCTGACTGTGGTTGTTTGAGTCTTTGGGATAGTGAGAAACAATGACGGCTGGAGACATTTCGTGAATATGGCCGAAAATTCACGTTCTCAGTTATGGCACAGATACTTTCAGTTTTTGTGATCTGTTCTCCCATATTACTATTCCTTCTTACTCACATTTCTGCGTATTATCGTTCTATAAAAACAAAATAATCGAGCAAAGAATATTCTTTTCGATAAATTCCTCTTCCAGGCTCTACAATTATATATATTCTATAGTTTGGTTTGTAAGGATTAGTTATGTTTTACGAGTTGATCAAACTAGGATGAAACAGCAGCTGTCCAGTACTCCCTGGTTTTCAATGGTTCTCTAACTGATATCAGTCCGTGATCAACTCGTAAAAATTATATATATGTTTATATACACAGAATATTCTAGATTAGTAGTCAATAACAATATTAGTGTTTTTTAAATAATATCGATTTGTAAAGTATGATCAATGCTATTGCGGTTAATTAAAGATGCTTAAATTATAGTAATAATAAAGATATAACAGCGGATAGAATATCAACTAAAATTAGGGAAAATTTACAAAAATTCTGGATTATTCAAACCTGGATGGCCAAGGTAATGATAATGACTGGACTAACTTCTTCTGGGTGCATAAATTAGGCTTATTAATGTGAATCCCCACAGCCTCAGCAATATTTAGAAGTCGAACTCTTAAAGCGAAATTGAGATTCATAGGTATGCGGTAAATGACCCTGAAAGCATGATTAACGTCAATCTTGTGTTCTGTCTCCACAAGATGCGCCAGAATAGCACTGCGAATAGATTTTGTTTGACCTTTGCTTAACCAGGCAGGGTGATGTTCGGAAATTCGACGAGAAACACGCCTAATTGTACGGCCTATGTAACTGGCTCCACAGGAGCAGTTAAATTGGTATATACACATGGAAGAGGCGAAATTAGGCAGTTTGTCTTTTATTCCCGAACGCAGAAAAGGAGTGGTTTTAAAGATACAGCGTAATTGAGCAGCAGGGAATGTTCTTTTTACCGCATTTCTGAGGCGATGTGTTAGTATTTCACTTGTGTTGTCTCCTAGGAACTGCATCTGTAAGAACAAGGATTTCTTTGGAACTGTTGGTACCTTGGATTGTTTTGGTTTTAGATTCATATTCTTATCAATAAACTTTTCCGGATAACCATTCTCACTTAGCAAACGTTTAATATTGTTGACCTCCTCGTCAAGACATTCATCCGAGCAAATCTCTCTTGCTCTGTGGACCAGGCACTTTATTAGATTGCGTTTGTATTTCAAGGGCACAAAGCTGAGAAAATGTGTGTACTGGCCCGTTGATGTAGGTTTTCTATAAACATTTCTTCTTATTGTGCCATCCTCTTTTCTGGTCATAAGGACGTCTAGAAATGAAATACTAGAGTCTTTTTCTTTCTCAATAGTAAAATTTATTGCAGGATGTACCTCATTAAATTTATCCAGGATGTCCTTTGCCTCATTTTCGTTCTTCATAATCAAAAAAGTATCATCCATGTATCGACAATAAAATTCGAGTTCATTAATAACATCTTTCAAAGGCCCATTTTCTAGTTTCGCCAGGAAAATGTCGGCTAGAATGGGTCCTAGTGGTGACCCCATTGCCACACCGTCGATTTGTCTATACAGTTCCTTATTAAATAAAAAGTGGACATTCATTGTACATTTCAAGAGAAGCTCCTTCATGAATCTCTTCTCTGTCTCTGTTTTCTCTTTGTGTGCGATATGGAGTGTGGCGACTCAAACTGATGCACTTCTGTTCACAGTTCTATGTTCAAACCGGTCAGTCAGTCAGTCCTCTAACCGATAGCTGTATAGCTTATCTATGCCTCTGTCTGTCTATCTGGATTCAGCACAGAACTTGGCACCGAAGTGCAGCAGTTCCAGTTGCCACGTTCCAAATAGCACACAAAGGTAGACAAGAAAATGAGTGAAGAGAATCAATAGAGTTTTGACAAGTATAAGAGTGAAACAGAATGAGTAATGGTGGAAAGGAATATGAAAGATTACACAAAAGACTGAATACATCTGCGTAAGCCATTGACAACGATTTTGAGCCATGTCACCTTTTGTCTCCAGCCATTGATTCTTAGAGTCCCGAGGGCGGGCCCCAACCCGGAAGTCTGCATCTCCCTACCTGACTCAGTTTAACTGTCAGGGATTTCATGGATTGATGAGGCCATGTTTTTGTTTGGCCACCACTTACTCTTTTCCAACCTGCACCTATATCAGCTAGCTAGTAATGCCCGTCGGGGTGGGGGAGGCGATGGTTAGGCATGCGCAGCACGTGACCTAGCCATCTCAATCTATGTAACTTTATAGCCTCTTCGATTGATTTTTCCTCTTTGCCCAACCAACACTCTACGCCTAACGTCAACATTACTTACCTTATTGCACCACCTAACGTGAGAAAGAGATCGTAGACATCTATGATCAAAGAATAAAACTTGGGCACTGTGGTAGAGTGTAATTCCATTATGGGTAAATTTTATTTTGATAGAGTCTCACAGTGTTATACAGTAATATTTACTGATGACGTTTCGAGCACAATTTATTGCTCATAATCATATCAAGGTAATCACACGACTTCCTAAATTCATTTATATAGTTCCATTATTTTTCACTTGATTTCCACTTGATTTGATTGGTAGTGTTATTTTCCATATTTCGGGTATTAGTGATGATTCATTCCTATTGCACGTGTTGGGTGTAGATTCGATGAACAAAGATTCAGTAATCAACCTCTCTCTCCACCTACCTAGATTACTTTTTAGAATTTTAACCCTCTCCCACCCTATTGTGTGGTTGTGTGTTAATGCATGCATTGCAATTACCGAGCTTTTTTCTAAATTACTTATCTTTTCTGGGTCAACCATTCTTATCTTAGCTAAATTCTTATGTTCTGACAATCTGACTATTCCTGACCTACTAGTTTGACCTATGTAGTTGACCTCACAGTCATTGCAGGGTAATAATAACATAAATAAGAGAGAATATAAGTCATCGACAGTTATACCATATAAAGAGGGGACATCTGAGACCCTACGTAGGATTCTAAATAAAGCAGGAATTAGGGTGGCAATTAAACCTACAAACTCACTCAGGGACAAGCTCTGTAGGTTAAAGGACCCAGTGGACCCAATTAGACAAAATAATATAATTTACAAAATACCCTGCAATGACTGTGAGGTCAACTAAATAGGTCAAACTAGTAGGTCAGGAATAGTCAGATTGTCAGAACATAAGAATTTAACTAAGATAAGAATGGTTGACCCAGAAAAGATAAGTAATTTAGAAAAAAGCTCGGTAATTGCAATGCATGCATTAACACACAACCACACAATAGGGTGGGAGAGGGTTAAAATTCTAAAAAGTAATCTAGGTAGGTGGAGAGAGAGGTTGATTACTGAATCTTTGTTCATCGAATCTACACCCAACACTTGCAATAGGAATGAATCATCACTAATACCCGAAATATGGAAAATAACACTACCAATCAAATCAAGTGGAAATCAAGTGAAAAATAATGGAACTATATAAATGAATTTAGGAAGTCGTGTGATTACCTTGATATGATAATGAGCAATAAATTGTGCTCGAAACGTCATCAGTAAATATTACTGTATAACACTGTGAGACTCTATCAAAATAAAATTTACCCATAATGGAATCTATGATCAAAAACAGTCAGGCTTTTCATGTCTTCACAGCTTGTATTGGCCATGTTTCAGAGCCATAGAGAATTATCTATGCCTGAGATGATGTATGCTGGCAAGTACTACACACGAGCGTTTTTGTATCCGTTCTGAGACTGCTTAGCGCTTTAACCATTTCATCACTGGTGTAAGATACTTTTGTGTATTTCCCTCTAATATTCCACCTTCTTCTCCTCATTGTGTTTTCTCTTCAAGGTATACAGAAGAACAAGCTCTTGCCTTTCTTACCTGGCATCAGATTGATTTTGATGAGGCTGTCGAGGATCTGTGCAATTTTACGCCAGTTCAATATGAATGGTCAAATTTAGAACGGAAAATATTCTTCACCTATGTCGCTTATCATAATAAACAATTTCATAAAATTAAGAAACATGTAAGTCTTCTGTTTTTTATTTTTGTTTAGTTAGTTAGGTAGTTAGTTAGTTAATTAGTTTGAAAATTGTCTTGTCTCCCTTCTCTCTTCATATACATCCTTCAACACTAGTAGTGCTCTTTTATTCTCAAATGTGTTTGTGTACAGGTATTTAGTTGATTTCAAGTGAGATGACCAACTGACATGATGAATTAGGCGATTTTTAAGAACTACCAGGGTGTAGTGCTGTGGATACAGCTGTTTTCGGTCCTACTGTAAAGAAGAAAAGACCAAGGAGGCTGAAAGGAATGTTTATTTGGTGAAACGTATGGTACATAGCTAAATTTGGTATACCATATTCTCAACCGGCCATTTGCACATCATTGACCACATCCTTGACGAATTGGTCGAATATCATCCCATTCGATAGCTTCTTGGATTCTGCATCATATGGCAACATTCTTCTCATTGTTCTCTTCTTTGATTGCTCTTTCCAGTGTGCCAAACATATTGTTACTTTGTTTCTGATATACTAATTATATCGGATTATAAGTAGCACTCACCACACTACTACTACTACTGTAACAACAGAAGACAAGGGTCAGGCAACAGATCTTCGATCTAGGGGCTTTGTTCGTTTGTCTTGCTGTCTGGAATCTCGTTGCTCGCTGATGTTCACCTGTTTCTCTTTGTTTACCATTGCGATTGTGTCTGCGTGACCCCATCTCAAAGTGACCCTATGTGGTCCTTCCCACTTTGGAAACTGTTTGCCTGACCCTGTCGCACATTCGTCGGTATTTCGCCTCACACTTTCATATGCTGCTTTCTCCCGACCTCCCAGCAGCGTCCCAAGTAACAGCCTCATCGCGAACAGATCTGGAATGCCACTCAACTGCGCAGAAGCCTCGAAGTCCTGCTCGAAGATCCATATGTCTCCATCGAAAGCTGCAGGGCACAGGCTCTCCATTTGTCGGTAGGCAGCGACACCAAATGTAACAACAGAATGCAAGTGCCAGGCAACATATCGTTTGTTTAGGAAATCAACAGATATTTATCGATTTTCATGTACATTATTGTAGATTATTGTGAGCAGACAAACACAGTCTTCTGATTGGTGGTTTCTCGCTGAACGTCAATCTTTCATCCATTTGTGGCCGTTTATTGAAGTTCAGATTATCTATCTGCAAATTGTATCCGCCTACGCAAAGTCTGCTCTGACTGGTTGTTGAATCAGTCTTTGTTCTTATTTTTCTCACGACCAATATTGGGGACGTACACATTGACGTAAATTACTATCTACCAATTTTGGCTAGCAGCCAGCCCTCACCACATTACTACTACTTTGGGACTCTTGGGCAGTATACAGCTGTGATCCTCTTCCTTCCCCACGGATATCAAGCCGAGGATCTTTATGTTATGAGATGAGTACCCATTGACCTCAATCAGCGACTGGGGTAGGTGAGGAGTCCCAAACTAGGATCTGAAACGAAGAAAGAAAAGAAATATTTTTTGCGGGATAATGTGGAGAGATCTGGTTTTATTTTGTGGGATCTCATCAACTGCCTACATCCCAAACCGAAATCAAATTATTAGTTACAAAATGCTGTCTGAAGATACTTTTTTTCACAGCTACTTTGAATTATAGGAAGAAAGTATCAGCAACATAATTCCAAAAACGATGTAAGGAGACAGATTTTTCAATCACAGAATTGACCATAATCTGACATCAGTTGGAGAACCATTGGAAAATCATCAGGGAGTAGTGGAAAGTTGTTTCGTCCCTGTTTGGGACTCTTCGACACTACGCACCTACCCTCAGGTTTCGAACTCGGGAACCTCAGGTTAAAAAGCGGGCTAGCTCGTAGACCATTCAATCACTGGGACTCAACCCAAAGCTCCATTGATTCCAATTCTGTGACACTGATTGGCGGTTACGCTAAATATATGTTAGCAATTGGCAGAAGTCGCGTCGGTGGCACAACGGTTAGGACGCTCGCCGACCATGCACATGGTCCGAGGTTCGATCCCCAGTCACAGACGCATTCGTTTGCCTCGCTAAGCCAGTAATAAGATTGGCAAAGAGGAAAGGTTAGGCTGGCCATGAGGCTAGCAACCCCATCCTGTACAAATAATCACCAGTGCTAAGGAAACTTCAAGCTCCTAGCTTGATGAAGCCCTATGTTCCACTGGGAACATGAAGGAATAAAAACAATTGGCAGAAGTTGGAACGACAGAGTGAATTTCTACACATTATGATGGAGAGTTCTAAATGGTGAGCGTGAATAGTATAGTAAAATTATAACATACATAAAACAATTAAGTCGATATGTAAACATAACAGTGAGTTCAACTCAGTAATTGAAAGTCAAAATTGAGTGAAGTGTTACGCAACAGAACAGAGGTATTACAGTTACCAGAGTAGTGAGAAATTAATCATGCCATCTTTCTCTATACCGAGTTTGAGTCGGCGTTTTTTGATAGCAATGGCTTCCGCAAACATAAGTAACCATAGTTTTCTGTGTGTTTTGTGATTATTTTGAAAGCTTGGCTAATTTCCACTGTATGTCCCGTGTCAATTAGGTGTGTCTGGCAATTTGCAATTGACAACACGTGATGGTGCTCAGAAAATCTCGTGTACCCTCTCCTCCTCCTCTCGGTCGAAACGGTCGTAAAAGAAAAAAATACATCCAAAGCATGTGAATCCATCCTTCTGGATGTTTTATTTCAAAAACGAATATTTTCTTAATGTAATGAGGGCATTTCTATGTTTCACTTCCATCTCAAGTATTGGTTTGTAGGGATTTGATTGATTGGTTACAGGATTTCATCATGAGCTGACATTGGTTAGAGAACCATTGAAAAACCTGGGAGTACTAGACAACCGTTTCGTCCTAGTTTGAGACTCTTCAGAAGTACACACCCACCGCCAACGTTCGAACCCAGGACCTTCTGGTTACAAGGTGGCGAGCTCGTAGACCATTAGGCCACTGGGACTCGAAACAATAGTCAGCCCATGAATTCTAACTTGTGCCAATTCACGACATAGCGTGACCATTTCACAATGTCTTCTTCGATGAGTTACTGCCTCATCTTCAACCTGCTGTACCCTACTGGTCACGGCTTCCCACTAGAACCCCAGGTAACTGCCTGAATAGAATTGAAGATGAGGCAGTAACTCATCGAAGAAGACATTGCGAAATGGTCACGCTATGTCGTGAATTGGCAGAAGTTAGAATTCATGGGCTGACCATTGTTTCGGGTCACAGTGGCTCAATGGTCCACGAGCTCGCCTTGTAACGAGAAGGTCCTGGGTTCGAACTCCTGTGGTGGTGGGTGCGTACTGACGAAGAGTCCCAAACTAGGACGAAACAGCTGTCCACTACTTTCTGGTGATTTTCCAGTGGTTCTCTAACTGATGTCATTCAGCTCATGATGAAATCCTCCATCCAATAAAATTTTCAGCGAAGAGTCACTTTTCCGCGGCGAATTCATTCATCACTTAGCTGTGCAATCGCATTTATGCCTATATTTTTTTCGTGTGTGTGTGTACATTAGGATTGTCAAACAAAAATAAAAAAATAGTTCGAGTTACTGTTTACATCATCAAAATGTTTCAAAAAATGTGATGAATAATCAAATTGTAACTAGAATGGGGGGGGGAGGGAGTGAAGATTGGTAAGTATTGACAAGAGTTACGTAATATGAATGACACTCAGAAAAATTGGATGGCGGCAAGTGTCCAAAATAAATTATGTAACAGGTAGAAAGAATAAATAAGAGGGTTCATTGAGAAAAAGATGTTTCTAAAATTTCATGCAAAAATTCAGAAAGAAACATTATTAACAAAGTGGTAGAACTTAGAATTGTATCCAAAGTAGAAGGAGGGGGTGGAGAAGTTTCTTCTGTGTACAAAAATCATGGTTTTCTATCCGGATGGCTGAGACCTCAGCAATGCAAAGTATTATACGGAAGCTTACCGTTTTTTAACGGGAGGTTTCTTTTGACCTTATAGATGACTTTGAAGGAATTCTCCCCACATATTGAGTAACAAGTGTTGAATATATGCTCTTCAATTAGAGCACTCTTTATTGATCCACTGTTACCTTTTTCGTAGCCAAGCGGGACAATGTTCTTTGAATCTTTTAGATAAAACACAACCTATCTATTACGCTTGCTCCACAAGAGCAAGTCATTCGGTATAGATACACATAGAGATAGTCAAATGCGATAGTTTATCTTTGGAGTTGTTGAAGAACAATGGGCGGCTTGAGAATGTTCTTTTCGGGGCGTTAGATATTCTTCTCTTTAGGATGTCGGCCAGAAGGTCGCCTTTGAAGGCCGCATTCATGTATAGCATCTTCTTCGGCACAGAGATGAGTTGTTCTTTGTTGATTTTTGGCTTTATGTTTTTATCTACAAATCGTGAGTGGTAGCCATTCTCAAGTAGTGCCTTGCTCAAAACAGTGATCTCTTCTTCTACTGATTCGAGGCTACATATTTTACGGATTCTAGTCGGAAGAGGTATTATCAGGTTCCGTTTGCGATTGATGGGTACCCAAAGCATGTCAGCTAGCACTTCCACGTAGGCTTTCGATATATTGATTGCCTCAGAGTCCTATCAGTCTTCTTTTTTAGTTGGAAATCCAGAAATGAGATTGTCTCTCCGGTTTCTGTTTCGATTGTAAATTTAATGGCTGGTTAGCAGCTATTAAAAAGTCTGAAGGACATTATTTAGGTCACATTTGTTATCACAGATGATCAAGGTTCTTTTACCTTGGGTATATAGGTATTCCTGATATAAGTATGAAACTTGGGCACTGTGGTGGAGTGTAACTCCATTATAGATAAGATTTTATTTTGTTAAATCACACAGTGTTACACAGTAATATTAACTGATGACCACGTTTCGAGCACAAATTATTGCTTATAATCATATCAAGTTTCTCACACAACTTTTTCCTTCTTTTATATATATGTATGGAATTGACTAGATATTTGAATAAAAACCAATATGAGTGTTATTGATCAAATACAATTAGATGGGAAATAAGACGAATGTTCTTATAGTAATAATAAGTAATTTGTTGGAATGTTGTGATTTGCTTGAATTGAAATAGAATTTTGAGATTATTTATTATCCTCTTCTGATTTGACTGATGGTAATAATATCTTCCATATTTCTGGTATTTGCATTGAGTCATTTCTGTTGCATGTGTTGGGTGTAGATTCGATGAACAAAGATTCAGTAATCAACCTCTCTCTCCACCTACCTATGTTACTCTTTAGAATTTTAACCCTATCCCACCCTATTGTGTGGTTGTTTGTTAATGCGTGAAGTGCAATAGCTGAGCTTTTTTCTAAATTACTTATCTTTTCAGGGTCAACCATTCTTCCCTTAGCTAAATTCTTATGTTCTGATAATCTGACTACCCCTGATCTGCTAGTCTGACCTATGTCATTGACTTCACAGTCATTGCAGGGTACTTTGTAGGTGGAGAGAGAGGTTGATTACGTAATCCTTGTTCATTGAGTCTACACACCCAACACATGCAACAGAAATGACTCAATGCAAATACCAGAAATATGGAAGATATTATTACCACCAGTCAGTCAAATCAGAAGAGGATAATAAATAATCTTAATATTCTATTTCATTTCAAACACATCAGAACATTCCAAGAAGTAACTTATTTTGACTATAAAAACACCCGTTTTATTTCCCATCTAATTGTAATAGATTAATAACACTCGTACTATTATTTCTGAATGTACATTATCTCATATTGAATTTTATTCCAATATCTAATCGATTCCACACATGTATATAAATGAAGGAAAAAGTTGTGTGAGTAGTGCTTTGATATGATTATGAGTGGCAATAGTTTGTGCTCGAAACGTCATCAGTTAATTTAACTGTACAACACTGTATGATTTATCAAAATAAAATCTTATTCATTATGGAGTTATACTCTACCACAGTGCCCAAGTTTTATACTTATACCATTAGTACATCTATGATGAAATTGAATAGAAATGGGGATAGTGGGCATCCCTGACGGACACCACTAGTCGCTGTAGGCTCTCACCTGGCTGACTGGATCAGTGCAAGTATAGTGAGTGCCTTCACCAGTGCAATATATTTTCTCGGCATTCCTTTCACAGCCAAACATCGCCAAAGTATCTCTCGGTCGACAGAATCGAATGACGTCTTTATGTCAAGAAATATAACAATTGTTGGACGCGCATCTATGTTCCAGAATCTGTCAAAAGGTGAAGATATTATCAATACACCCTCTTCCTGGTTTAAAGCCCTCCTAGTTCCCTCGTGTTTGTTCCTACAACCCGCATTATTATTGAGCCTAGAAATTTAGATACCACCATATTAGTCAAGCTAATACCCCTGTGATTATCACAGGGAGACTTGTCTCCCTTCTTGTATATCGGGATAATCAATGACTTACACCAACCCGACGGGACTTCCTCTGATTCCCAGACGCTGCCTATTACCTTAGTTAGTGCAGACAGTAAACTGTTTCCACCGTACTTAACTACCTCTGGAGTCATTCCATCAGGTCTTGCTGCTTTGCCTCGTTTCAGCCTAGTGACAGTCTTAGTAATTTCAGTTGGGGATGGAGGACCTATGTCTATATCCCATTCAAGGAGATGTTGGATGTTCGCCAAGTAGATCATCACAGTAATGCGGTCAACTGAAGTTCACAACTGATTACTCAAAGTTGAATTATTATTCGCCTTAATGCTTCACTGCTACTACTACAGCACTAATTGTATCTTTTTTCTGGTTGTTCTATTTTTTTTCTACAGTTTCCCAACCGTACAGTCAATGAATTAATTCTTTTCTATTACTTGAATAAACGAAATGAACAAACATTGCATGAAATGGGTTTAGGCGGATCGAAATGGTCTTGTCTACAAAAACTTGCTTATTTAGTGCCTGGTATTTCATCACATATGAACAATAATAATAATAATGATGCTAATCAGGTTAGTTTCATCCACACTGATGATTTTTATTTGTTGTACCTCGTTAATTTATTATTCTTGATTGCATATTATTACTATGGTGATGACGTTTCACCCTCACGAAGTTGTGTCAGTTGTGAATGCAAATGCCAAACGAACCTTTTGTATACATGCTGAGATTGCGTAAGCCATCAACCTCTTGGTTGTTGCCTTGGGTTCCTAGTGGAACATAGGGCTTCGACTACACGTCTCCACTTGCTGCTTCTGTCTTCTACTGTACTTTTCACTTGCATCCATGTTAATCCAAACTGTTTCAACTCCTCTTCACATGATCTCCTCCATGTCACCCTTGTACGTCCCACTCGCCGCTTCCCTTTCGGGTTCCACTCGAGCACTGGCCTGACGCGCGATGTCACCCAGCGGCCTCCTCATCAGTGAGTGTCCAATCCATCTCCACTTTCTCCTGCATATTTGTTGAGCGATTGGTTCCTGTTTTGTTTGTTCCCATAGTTTCTTGTTGGTCCTTGTTCTTTCCGGCCATCTGATCTTCAGTATAGAACGAAGACAGCTGTTGATAAAGGTCTGCAACAGGCTGTTGGAAATATTCTTTGTGACTCGCCAAGTTTCTGATCCGTATAGAAGAACTGACTGACTTGACGTTTGTATTGAAAATCCGAATTTTGTTGTTGATGTTGAGTGACTAAGATTTCCAGATTGGTTTAAAGGAGTGCGTCGGCCGGGGATCGAACCCCGGACCATGTACATGGTTGGCGAGCGTCCTAGCCGCTATGCCACCGACGCTCAAAAGTGCTTAGCTCGAGGCCTCACCGAGACGTTGGGGCTAATGCAACTTCACAAATAAGAGAAGTGGTCAACATGCTCTACCACTTGTCTGATTCACAGAGTAGTGTGCAGCAGGATCCACCCACCCACAGGATCCCGTGGTCAAAACCATGTTCATATATCATTCGATCCAGTTGGAACCAGAGTTTTTCAACCCCCCTAGGTAAACCTGCATGTTGACCGATCCGGTTGTAAGCCCCAGGACGCCCGCATTCGCCCCGCCACCACCACCACCTTTATGAGGGACACCTAGGCCACGTGACGGCAGTGCATACGACCTACTTAGCAGAGGGTATGCATGTGTGGTCACATGAGAGCATTTGGAGAGGAAGATCGAAGTATGCCCACTCTTGGGTCAGTTTAAAGGGAGTGAAGTAGTTAAGTGTGCTAACTACTTCACTTAATTAGGAATTTGCATCAACCTTAGTGGAGTGATTGTTGAAGTCGCCTGGATTTCTAGTAAAAACACTGTGACCACTGGGGTCTACCCAACACTTGCCACAGACGACATTGGCTGGTGTTAGTTGCGCTAAAATTATGAAAAAAAATATATATGAATATATATATATAATAGTGCGTCGGTGAGCGGTTAGGACGCTCGACGACCATGCAGATGGTCCGGAGTTCGATCCCTGGCCACAGACTCACTCTTTTACCTCTCTAAGCCAGAAATAATGCTGGTGAAGAGGAAAGGTTGGGCATGAGGCTAGCAACCCCATCCTGTAAAATAAACACTGCTACAGAAACTTCGAGACACTAGCTTGAAGCCCTATGTTCCACTGGGGAACGTAAAGGAAAAAAAATATATATGGAGTATTCAAGTCAAGCTTTCATTACTTTCAATTCTGTGTGGAGAAGATCAACAGCAGTCAGCATGGAAAACTTCAATGTGAAGTCAGTGCTACTTACTATACGAATCAGAGACTTGGCGCCGCGTCGCGTCACGAAGGCCACTTTGAAGAAACTACAAACCTTCATCAACAGCTGTCTTCGCTCAATACTACTCAAGATCAGATGGCCGGCCAGAAAAGATCAGCAACAGGGATCTCTGAGAGCGAGTCAACCAACCCAGCAGGAACCAATTGTGCAACAAATATGCAGGAAGAAATGGAAGTGGATTGGCTGGCCATACTCTGAGAGAACAAACCATTAAGTGAGTGAAATCACACTCCAGGCCATCACTCGAGTGGGAATTGGCGAGTTGGTCGTCACTGCGAGGGTGACATGGAGGAGGAGGTGATGTGAAGAGGAGATGAAAGCATGTGGGCAGACGTGGAGTCAGGTGAAAACGTTGGAAGAGAACCGAACGCAAAGGAGACGTGCAGCTGAAGCCCTATGTTCCTCTAGGAACTAAAGGAAACAATAATAATGTAGTATCACCCGTCTGTCCAAGTAGCTAGTCCGAAATCAAATGGTTTCAACTAATTCGGCTCCTTGAGCGCTGAGTCTAACCGACTATATCGATGATGAGTTGGACTCCTCAGACAAGCGAAACGGCCTTCGGGTGGCTAGATCACTTCTATCTAGCTGGCCAACTTGTTGATATAAGTGACATGCCAACTACTTATATCGTATTTGTCCTCACACCCGACCTGCTGTACCCTACTGGTCACGACTTCTCACTAGAACCCCAGGTAACTATCTACTTGAATAAGGCCAATCGCTGGTGACCATCTCATTGATATTCTAGTATTGAATTGTAGAGTTTTGATTGATTAGTTACAGGATTTCATCATGAGCTGACATTGGTGAGAGAACCATTGGAAAACCACCAGGGAGTACTGCACATCTGCTTCCTCCTCCTAGTGTGGGGTGGAGTTCTCTAGCCAGTGCATCTTTTATTTTTTCTCCAGGATGACTCGACTTAGTATTTTACTTGGCGTGGGTGGACAAGAGCATGATTCCACTCCAGTCAGTTCTTGCAGAGTTGTCAGTCGCCCTTCTTCGTTAGCTTGACAAGGTAGCCAGCCTTTCTTCCAATCAGTAGGTACTTCTTCTTCTTTCCAAACCTTTTGCAATAATGGCGTGTGCACATCTGCCGCAGTTTCTGAGTCCCTTTATCAGTGCTTCGGGAGTTCAAACACATAGGTGAAAGTAGTACGGTAGGGTTAATGAAGCTAGTGGAGTACAAAAACTTGATACAATTCAAATTAGTAAACCGTAATAAAATGAAAAAACAGCAGCAGCAACATCCAGCGCCAATCACCATCAACGGGAGGGATTTGAAAGAGGTTACTTCATTCACTTATCTAGGGAGCTTAGTCTCAACTACAGGAGGAACGGACGAGGATGTCAAATCGAGAATCGGGAAGGCGAGAAACACATTCATCAACCTGAAACCAATCTGAAAATCTTCGTCACTCCTCAGCATCAACAACAAAATTCGGATTTTCAATACAAACGTCAAGTCAGTTCTTCTATACAGATCAGAAACTTGGCGGGTCACAAAGAATATTTCCAACAGCCTGTTGCAGACCTTTATCAACAGCTGTCTTCGTTCTATACTGAAGATCAGATGGCCGGAAAGAACAAGAACCAACAAGAAACTATGGGAACAAACAAAACAAGAACCAATCGCTGAACAAATATGCAGGAGAAAGTGGAGATGGATTGGACACTTGCTGAGGAGGCCGTTGGGTGATATCGCGCATCAGGCCAGTGCTCGAGTGGAACCCGAAAGGGGAGCGGCGAGTGGGACTTCCAAGGGTGACATGGAGGAGATCGTGTGAAGAGGAATTGAAACAGTATGGATTAGCATGGATGCAAGTGAAAAGTACAGCAGAAGACAGAAGCAAGTGGAGACGTGTAGTTGAAGCCCTATGTTCCACTAGGAACCCAATGGAACAATAATAATAAAATGGGAAAACAGGACAGGTAGTCCAACGAAGAGAAGAGGAGGCTCTTTTTTCGTCAAATTCATTTTCCCCTTTACCTCTACAATCGCATTTATATATACAATCTCCTTTTCATGAAAGAGACTTGTAATGAAAGTAATGAGCAGTAGTCACAAACATAGTTGTTAATATTTGTCAATGCATGAGACCAGTTGAATAAGTGTATTTCACAGTTACGTAATAAGATGAGTAATTCATTGAATGAGTTGTAATCAGGCCGCAACATAGAAATGAAGAAAAATATGGAATTATGTAAGAAATACAAGAGTTATAAGAAGTTAGACAAGCAAACAAACAAACACAAATAGAGAGAAGACCAGTAGCCCAACAAAGAGTATTCATTTTCAAAGCTGTACAATCGCAAATATATATGGTTATTTTGTGTGTGTGTGTGTGTGTATACATTAAATTTGTCAAACAAAATAACCATATATATTTGCGATTGTACAGCTTTGAAAATGAATTCGCCGAAAAGAGACTCTTTGCTGAACTACTTGTCTTTTGTCTACTAATGTCCGAATGGGAATTATTCATGAATTTATTTTTTCTTAGCTGTACAATCGCAAATATATGTATATGTGTTATTTTGTATGTATGTGTACATTAAGTTTGTCGAACAAAAATAAAACTGATTATGTTTTTACGAGTTGATCACGGACTGATATCAGTTAGAGAACCATTGAAAACCAGGGAGTACTGGACAGCTGCTGTTTCATCCTAGTTTGGGAATCATCGGCAGTACACACACTGGGATTCGAACCCAGGACCTTCCGGTTACAAGGCAAGCTCGTATACCATTCAGCCACTGGGACCCGATTCAACGGCTCATGAATTCTAACTTCTACCAATTCGTGATTTAGCGCGACCCCAACCATTGTCGTTGGTGGGACATCCATCCACACACGTGACATCTAATTGGACCTCACTGGTCACGACTTCTCACTAAAACTCCAGGAAACTCCATCCTGTAGCAAGTCACTAGCGAGCATCAGATTAATTTTCTATAGTTTGGTTTGTAAGGGTTCGAATCCCAGTGGGTGCGTACTGCCGATGATTCCCAAACTAGGATGAAACAGCAGCTGTCCAGTACTCCCTGGTTTTCAATGATTCTCTAACTGATATCAGTCCGTGATCAACTCGTAAAAACATAACAAACCCTTACAAACCAAACTATAGACAATTGATTATGGTTATTTTAACTAAACAGGTGAGAGTTAGTATAGTAAGTTCTGGGTGGCGTTACGTCCTACAAAAAGTATTCAGAGGAATTGGATTTTGATAACGAAATTGACGAGTAGTCACAAACGATTGTTAAAGAAGAGTTACGTTATAACAACATGAATAACTTGATGAAAGAGTTGTGCTCAGGGTGAACATGAAACAAAATAAAATGTGGAGTTACGTAAGAGTTTGAAAGGAATACAAGAGTTTTAAGTAGTTAGAAAAACAAGAACAAAAAAGGCGAAAGTTAAGTCAGATCAACAGAGTTATTACTATGATATAGTATTATTGTTATTGTTTCCTTTAATTTCTAGAGGAACATAGGGCTTCAGCCGTACGTTTCCATTGCGTTCAGGTCTCTGCTAGAGTCTTCACATGGCTCCAAGTCTGACCACACGTTTTCATCTCCTCTTCACATGACATCCTCCAAGTCATCCTTACACTGACGACCAACTCGCCGCTTCCCTTTCGGGTTCCACTCGAGCAATGGCCTGTCGTGTGATTTCACTTGATGGTTTCCTCAGAGTATGGCCAATCCATCTCCATTTCTTCCTGCCTATTTGTTTCACATTTGGTTCCTGGTTGGTTCGATCTCTGTTGCTGATCTTTTATGGCCATCTGATCTTGCGTAGTGAGCGAAGACAACAGTTAATGAAGGTCCGTAGTTTGTTTGAGATGCTCTTTATGACGCGCAGTGCAAGTCTCTGATCCGTATAGTAGCACTGACTTCACATTGGAATTGAAAATCCGGATCTTATTTTCGATTTCATGCAGAGTGCTGTTGACCTCCACACAGACTTGAGAGTAGTGAAAGCTTGTCTTGCCTTTCCGATTCTTGCTTTGATATCCTCGTCAGTTCCGCCATGATATAGTAGAAGTGTCTGAATTCGCCGAAAAGAGACTTTTCCTCTTTGTTGGACTACTACTGATCTTCTCTCTATTAATGTTCCAAGGGTGATTTTTCATGAAACAGATAAAAGTCAAGACGGTGGCAATCAACACTTTTGTTACCATGATAGTAGAAATGGTTGAATTTATTTTCTTTTGAATGTATAACTCCGATTATCTTTTTGTCAGAAAGTCTGAAGTTTTAGCAATTCCAAGGAGACGAAAGCGTATTGACTTTGGCAGGTTATTCTTTACTTTTCTATAGTTGGTTTGTAAGGATTAGTTTTGTTTTTAGGAATTGACTATGGATTGATATCAGTTAGAGAACTATTGAAAACCATCGCTGGAGTACTGTACAGCTGTTTCATCCTAGTTTGGGAATCATTGGTAGTACGCATGTAACAACATAAGACAAGGGCCAGGCAACAGATCGTTTATTGAGGAAAATCAACACATAATTATAGATTTTAATGTACATTATTGTAGATTATTGTTAGTAGAAAATACAGTCTTTTGATTGGTTGTTTCTCACAGAAAGTTAACCTTGCATCTCTTTGTGGCTGTGTCAGATCATCCATATGCTAACTGTATCCACCAATATTGAGGACATAAACATTCACTTCAATTACTGTCTACCAACTTTGGCTAGCAGCCAGCTCTCACCACACACACCCACTGCCAGGGTTCGAACCCAGGACCTCCTGGTTACAAGACCAGCTAGCTGGCTCGTATACCATTCAGCCACTGGGACTCGATTCAGTGACCAACGCATGAATTCTAACTTCTACCAATTTGGGATTTAGCGTGACCCCAACCATGTAGATTACTTTGCAGGAGGGATTTGTTGAAGTGGAATGACCAGTGTTGACAAGGTGTTCGATTATCGCACTCTTTAACACAAACACTACTACCTTTCTGCAAGTATTTGATGGGATAGTGTTCTTGAACGCTTTTGGACAGGATACGCATCAAATTCCTACATGATTCCATATTATCCTTCATTTCTATGTTGCGGCCTGAATACAACTCACTCATCAAATTACTCATCTTGTTACGTAACTGTGAAATACACTCATTCAATTGCTCTCATGCATTGACTAATATTAACAACTATGTTTGTGACTACTGCTCATTACTTTTGATTACTAGTCTCTTTCATGAAAAAGAGATTGTATATATAAATGTGATTGTAGAGGTAGAGGGGGGAAATGAATTCGCCGAAAAAAGAGCCTCCTCCTCATCGTTGGACTACTTGTCTTTTTTTAATTAGTGTTCGTAATAAGATAAGCAATCTAGACAAAAAGCAAAACAGCTCGGTGATGGCACTACGTGGAGTTGCATACAACCATACAACAGAATGTGCGTCGGTGGCACAGCGATTAGGACGCTCGCCGACTATACACATGGTCTGGGGTTCGATCCCTGGCCATAGGCGCACTCCATTACCTCGCTAAGCTAGTAATAGAACTGGCTAAGACGGAAGGTTAGGCTGGGCATGAGGCTGTAAAAATAATCACCAGTGCTACAGAAACTTCAAGCGTCCAGCTTGAAGCCCTATGTTCCACTAGGAACGTGAAGGAATAAAAAAAATACAATAGAATGGGACAAATTGGCACTTATAAAATCTAATACATTAGATTTTAGTTAGCATTAGTTAGTTAGTTAGCTCTACATTAGTTAGCACACTTAACTAGTTCACTCCCTTTAAACTGACCCAAGAGTGGGCATACTTCAGTCTTCCTCTCCAAATGCCCTCATGTGACCACATGCTCATAGCTTCTGCTAAGTAAGTCGTATGCACTGCCGTCACGCGGCCTAAGTGTCCCTCCCAAAAGTGGTGGTAGTGGGGCAAATGCGGGCGTCGTGGGGCTTACAACCGCATCGATCGACATTCAGATTTACCTAGGAGAGTTGGAAATCTCTGATTCTAAACCTACACTGTGTGTACATGGGCTCTAGAATCCAACTGGATCGAATGATATATGAACATGGTTTTGACCACGGGAAACTATGTGGGTGGATCCTGCTGCACACTACTCTGTGAATCAGACATATGGTAGAGCATGTTGACCACCTCACTTATTTGGGAAGTTGCATTAGCCCCATTAGGTTGATGACTCAAGCAATCTCAGCATGGCATTTGCCAACTTACGCCACCCCTGGCTTAGTAGACGTGGTATCTGGTTGACTGGTTATCGACCGAAGGACATGTGTACTGCTCAACAGCAGTAGCAGTCCTCTCCGTCCTCCTTTATGGCTATGAATGAGATATGGCCATTGAGAGTGGAAGATATGAAAAGGCCTGCATTCTATCTTCGATGTTAGGTGGTGGTATAATAAGGTGAGCGATATTGAGGTTAGGCATCCGTAGAGTGCTAGGTAAGGGGGGAAAATCAGTTGATGGGGTTGTGAAGTGACATCGATTAAGACGATGATTAGGATATCTGTTACGCATGCATTCCTAGCCATTGATCGCCTTCCTCGACAATCAATGTTAGCTGCTGACATAGGATGGATCAGGTTGGAAAAGAGATGGCATGTGGTAGTCAAACGAAAACATAGCTTCAACAGTCAATGAAGTCCACGACAGTTCGTTTAAGCCAGACATGTAGGGAGGCGTAGATGTTGATATCAGTCAGTCAGTGAATCAGACTTCAGGTCAAGGGTTCAGTGGGGTTGTCTCCTTAAGACAACAACGTACTGCGACCTAGATGGCAGGACAGTATCTCCCACAAACTATACGATTCTGTGTGGCGCATTTCATGGTGCTCATAATATGCCAAGTTTGTGTTTTAATAATCACTATAGTATCTTCAAACTAGGATTCCGTGTAAACCATTTCTGCGGCATCATCTTACATTTGATAGGAGTGGATTGCATGCCGAACATACTAAGATTTCGTCTATAAATTGACATCAGTGAGGGAATCATTGAAAACAATCAGAGAGTACTGCTAGACAGTTGTTTCTCCCTCCTTGTTTGAGACTGATCAAATTCGATGATATTAGATGGCTGGAGGTAATCGGTCACAAGAAGCCTTGGACCTAGGTTTCGTGCTAGTTAGCATTCATCGGTCAGCAAGGCGCATCTGCAACCTTGAAGGAACTCATATTCCTTTTGAGATTCGAACCCGCGTCACCCAGTGAGTGCTGCAGTCAGAGGTGTTACCACTGGCCTAGATATTCGGGCTCATGACTGAGCTCCTGTAGGACTGTTCCTTCAAGGTTGCAGATACGCCTTGCTGACTGTTGAGTCCAAGGCTTCCTGTGGTCGATTGCCTCCAACCATCTAATTATCAGAAAATCAATGTGCACCGTGATGGCGGCATGCACCTAGTGCCATGGTGGCCGCATTTTTCAATGTGACTGATAGAATTCAGTCTGCACCAAACAGAGGACTAGATACATCACACTAGTTACTAGTGTCCAATCAAAATCACCTGAAACTGCTTGATGTCACGTTTTATGTGACCTTGTCTTCTTTATTCCCTCTTCTTTTTCTTCAGAAGTACGACTTCGAATTCGATATGAACGATCCATTAGATGTTGAAATCAAACAATATCTTGATATGCTGCACAGACTAGTTCCAGAATCATCAGCTGAAGAATCCAATGATAGTACAGAACAAGGCACTAGCCTTAGCGGTACTCAATCAGAGTGTGAAACAGAAACACGCACCTCATGTTCATCATTATCAATAGGTGGTGAAGGCGGTGGTGTTAACACCGAAACTGTTGAACAACACAGTGATCAACAAAGTAGATCAAGTACAGGTTCTGTAACACATAGTCTTGAACATCGTAGACAACGGCGAGGACGAGGACGACATTGTCGTAAAGGTCGAAGAACAACACCGCGTAATGCCGCCGCTGCCGCTTTTGGTCTCTTCTCCAGTGATATTGTTTCAGTGAATCGTTTATCAGCACGTAAATTTGCTCAACTTGAAAAAGAAATTGCAGCAGCCATTGCTTCTTTTAGTAGTAATAATAACAATAATCAATCGTCATTACATAGAGTTAAATCTCATGAAGCCAATACCTGTGCGAATTCTAGTTCACGTAGTTCACGCAGAGGAATTCTGTCGAACACAAAAACAAGGTATGTCTAATTGATGTGTTGTTGTGTGTATTTATGTGGGCATTTTTGTTTGTTATTTTCTTTTTTGGCGCACCACAAATTATTGGTAGAAGTTAGAATTCATGGACTGGCCATTGAATCGGGTTGGGTCCCAGTGAGTGGCTGAATGGTATACGAGCCAGCTAGCTTGTCTTGTAACCGGAAGGTCCTGGGTTCGAACCCCAGTGATGTGGGTGCGTACTGCCGATGATTCCCAAGCACTAGGCGGATGAAACAGCTATCCAGTACTCCAGCGATGGTTTTCAATGGTTCTCTAACTGATTGATATCAATCCGTGGTCAAACTCGTGAAAAGAAATCTAATCCACCACATTCCTTGACAGCGGACGATGTTAACTGGCAGGGTCAGGTTGAAAACGAGCTAGCGGTGGTCAAACCAAAACATGGCGTTATCAGTCAATGAAATCCACAACAGTTAGTTTCAGCCAACCAGCTAGCCACGTAGAAAGTTGTAGACTTCCTGACTGGTTGGGTTCCTTGGAACGGGAAACACAAATGGCTGGAAACAATTGGTGGGTGATATGGCTCAAAATCGTTCTCAGTGATGGCTGGCGCATATGCATTCACTCCTTGTGACTTATAATTTCCAATGAAACTATATTGTTCTTCGTTATTACTATTCTTTTTGCCTTATTTCTCTGTTTACTGTCTTTATTTTGCATTTCTTTTTACTTTCTTCTCTTGCTTTGTGTGCTACGTGGAGTGGAGTGTGGCGACTCGAACTACTGCACATCGGTGCAAAGTAGTTTTATGTCGAAAGCAGATAGACAGACAGACAGAATCCTTAGAAACCAAACTCTTGAGAATATTCATATCCAGTGGTTGGTGGTTTTCAGGCACGATTGATAGTCACAGATTTGATCACAATTAGAGAGAGAAAGTGAGAGAACCATTAGGAAACTACTATCAGGAAGTACCAAACAGTCAGCGATTTTGTCCCAGTTTATGATTCTTCAGCAGTACGTACCCATCGCCGCTAGGGTTCGAACTCAGGACTGTGGTTGTAGCCATAGTTCAATCTAAAGTGATTACTTCATAGAGTGTATACACCGTGGAAAGGGGTGTAAAATTATAGGATTAGTAGGCAAATAAAAGCGTTACACATAACATAATGTGAAGTTTGATAAGATGGGTTTTAACATTGCGAAAAAATGTATATCAAAATTGAAATAATAAATGGGGAAAGTGAAATAATAGCGAAAACTGTTAAAAGTTAGAAAAAAAATTAATAAAAAGTTGTAATATTAATGGAAACGTATTCGGATTAAATGAACAATTAATTATTATTATTATTTTGTTGTCGGTGGGACAGCGGTTAGGACACTCGCCGACCATGCACATGGTCCGGGGTTCAATCCCCGGTCACAGACGCACTCCTTTACCTCGCTAAGCCAGTGATAATACTGGCAAAGGGGAAAGGTTGGGCATGAGGTTAGCAACCCCATCCTGTAAAATAAACACTGCTACAGAAACTTCAAGTGTCTAGCTTGAAGCCCCATGTTCCACTGGGGACGTGAAGGAATAAAACAAAAACAACAAAATTATTATTCCCTTGGGTTCTGAGTGAAACATACGGCTTCAACAACACATCTCCACTTTGTTCTATTTGGTGCTGTCCTCTTCATCTGGGTCCACGATTGCCCATAATCTCTCATCTCCTCCTCCTCGCCACACGATCTCCTCCATGTCACCCTCGCACCGATGACCCACTCGTCGCCTCTTATCGGGATTCCACTCGAGCTATGGTCTGACGCTTGATGTCATTCGCCGGTTTCCTCAATGGTGTGTACCCGATCCATCTCCATTTTCTCCCATATATTTGTTGAGCAATCGACTCTTGGTTGGTCTGTTTCACTGCAGAGTTTCTTGTTGCTAATTCCTTCTGGCCGACCATTTAATCTTCAGTATGGAGCCAGCGAAGGTGGCAGCTGTTGATGAAAGTCTGCAACGTGTTAGAAATGCTCTTCGTGACACAGTACAAGTTTCTGACCCGTATAGAAGAACTGACTGACTTCACATTTGTGTTAAAAATCTGAATCTTATTCTTCATACTGCAGATTGCAGAAGATTTCCCAACTAGTTTTGGATTGATGAAGGAGTATCTTGCCTTTCCGATTCTGACTGGCTTTGGCATCCTCATCCGTTCCGAATTCCTGTAATTGAAACCGTGCTTCTCACTTAGATAAGTGAATGAAGTAGCCTCTCAAATCTCTCCAACTGATGGTAATTGGTGCTGGTTGTTGTTACTGTTGGTCGGTGAGGTATCTTCATCACCTCCATCTTCTCTATGTTCACCTGAAGTCCTGTCTTTGCTGCCCGCTTCTTCAACCAGTTTGTTGGTTTATGCGCGCAAGTCTTTCAGTTTGTGTGACATTAGACATAAATCATCTGCGAAATCCAGATCTTCTAGAGTCCTCTTATAGGTGGTTCAGCGTATTCCTGTCTTCTCACTCCCACGCACAGTCTTGCACATAATTCAGTCCACTACCACTAAGAATATCATCAGTGATAATAGGGAGACAGCCTTGTTTTACTCCTGTGTTTTCCATTGTAGATCACCTGATACGTGGCATTGTCATATATCCAGCTGTGACTGAATGAAGTTGAGAAAGATTTGGGCACTGCACTCCATAGTGTTGAAATTGTTTCCAAATGACTTCGTGGTTGACGCTGTTGAAGACCTTCTCATAGTCGATAAAATTGAGGTAGAGATTTCATTTCCCTTCTACGCTTTGCTCCATGATGATTCGTAGACTTACAATTTGATCAGCACATGATTTGCCTTTCCTGAATCCAGCTTGTTCCGGCGAGTGGTGGAGTTCTGCGCCCAGCGCATCTTTTATTATTTATAGGATGACGCAACTCAGTATTTTACTTGAAGTGGACAATAGCATTATTCCACTCCACTTCTTGCGTGAACAAAACGAAAAATTGATAAATAAATGTTTACCTCTTTACAGTTAAGATAGTAATAGGGCACTGTGCATACTTTTTTGTGTACGGAAGTCTGGCTTAAGTGATGGCTTCCGCCATCGTTAGTTCTGACTGCGTTGACACGGAACTTTCTTTCCTAAAAGCGACGCTCACTGAAAATGATTACGTAAACCGATTTATTGATAGAAATACGAAGGATAACTAGTCTGAAATGGTCACTAACACGGTTCTAAAGAAATCCATCTTCGCGAATCTTGGATGCGTAAGTGAACAGCCTACAGATGAACTGAAAAATTGTCTTTCTAAACGAATAATTAAGGCATTCTTTGCGGTTTAACTCCAGTTGCCTTTCACCATCTGTGTAAAAGATAAGTTCTCCATGTGCATCTGTCAGTTTACCTGCTCATGTGGAGTACACTACGTCAACTGTAGCCAGAGAAAGCTTCCCACATGGCTACATGAGCACATTTCAGCATGACTGTACAATCGGGAAAAGAAGGGTATTGGGCGACGCTCTATTCTACAACATTTGACCGGTCTCTTTCATTCTACCAAAACCAAATATGCTTTTCAAATCATCTGTCGAATTCCCTCCAGCTTGCCTCTCTTTCATCGTCCCAAATTTTTAAAAACAGTGGAAGCCTCAGACATTCATGAATTCAAGTCATACCTTTGCTTACAAAAAAAGGGTATGTACAGTCTGTGTTTCTACCTTACTTGAGGACTTCTTGGTCACCGCGAGCAGATTTTTCATATATACCTGTCTTTAAAAGCCATACATTGTGGCGGTGATGGCACGGTTGAAGATGCTACTCAGGTGGAGTAGGACTTGAACCTAAGACCTGATGATTATTGAAAGTCAAGTCACATAAATATGCTCTACTTTTCAGACAACCGTAATGAATTTTTTGTTGTGTAAACAACTGATTACTTATTTCCAATAAAGTAGCTGTTTGTTTTTCTCTTCAAAAATAAACCTATTTTACAGAGCCACATTACCCTCTGGAATATACTATTCACATAGAGAATTTCTGCGTTTCTGTGATTCTACACCAGCTGAACGTAAACAAGAAATGGATGAATTGAATACTACACTACAAACCTTGTCTGAACAAATAGAGAAGGAAAAGAAAGTGAGTGAAATGATAAGAATCATTCAATGATGTTATTATTATTATTATTACTTTATGCTGGTTGCTTTACCTCAAATATTTTCATGACATTTTGACGTTTAATGGATTATTGATGATTTTCAACTGAACTGCATACGTGATTTGAATCTTGTTCTAGGAGTCAGGCATCAATATTTAGCGAGGTAGTTGTGTCTATCAGGGATGCCCACTGTCCCCATTTCTGTTTGATTTCATCGTAGATATCGTAATAATGGACTTAACCCTAACTTCTAATTTCACCGACTCAGGGATTGGCTTTTTACCACGAAATAATCTCGTTGACTTAGAATATGCAAATGATATAGCCCTCCTTCCTGGGTGAAGACGCTGACAAAATGCAGTTGAGTCTTCTAAACATCTTAAGGAGCAGCAATCTTCGAATGTTTTTTATGCGATTCGCTCCTGCTGTCAAATGTAAGATGATGCTACAGGACTGGACTACATTGACTCCTAGCTTAAACATAGGCAGGAGTTAAGTGGTTGGTGGAGCGTGTTGACCATTTCACTTATTTGGGGAGTTGTATCAGCCAGCCCCAACGGGGTTGATTACTGACGGGATCACTGCGCGGATACAAAAGGACCGTTTGGCATCTGCCAACTCACACCACCTCTGGCTTAGTAGACGTGATATCCAGTTGGCTGGCTATCAACCGAAGGACATGTGTACTGCTCAGTAGCAGCAACAGCAGTTTTCTCCGTCCTCCTTTATGGTTGTGAGTGAGATATGGCCATTGACAGTGGAAGACATGTAAAGCCTGGCTAGTTGTTTTTGACCGTAGATGCCTGCGTTGTATCTCCCATTTGTTAGGTGGTAGGTTTAATAGGATGTGTAATATTGAGGTTAGGCATCGGTCGAGTGCCAGGTAAGGAGGGAGAATCAATGGACGATACTGTGAAGTTACACTGATTGAGATGTTGTGTTACTCATGCATTCGTAGCCATCACCTTCCTCGACAGTCAATGAAGTCCATAGCAGTTGGTTTAAGCCAACCAAGTAGGCAGATGTATACTTCTTGGCTGGTTGTGGTCCTCGAGAGTGTAGAAACCAAATGACAGCTGGCGACAATTGGTGAAATGGCTCAAAATCGTTTTCGGTGATGGCTGGCGCAGATACATTCACTCTTTATGATTTATAATATCCAATAAAACTCTATTGCACTTCTATATTACTATTCTTTTCGTCTCATATTTCTGTTTGTGATCTCTTTCTCTTTTGAATCTCTTTTTACTCTCTGCTCTTGCTTTATAACAGGAGTGTGGGAACTGGAACTGCTGCACATGTGTTCAAAGTTCTCTGTTGAAACCAGTCAGTCAGTCAATGTGGCTTAAAACTTATTATAATTACATGACCATATTTACCGTATCTATACTGCAGCACACCTGACATTAATGGTCAGCCTGCAAAATTTGGACTGCCGATATCACACGCTGAAAATTCCATACTTGTAACAAAAATACGGTGTGGAATCAAGCTATAATCGAAATAAAATTATTATTGTTATTCTCTTCAGTTTTGAGTGAAACATAGGACTTTTGCGGCACAGCTTTATTTCATCGTGTTCTCTGCAGTGTGTTTTAGAGGGCTCCGCGATTTGCCTATTAGCCTTCATATTCTTCGGGTCACCCTCGGATTGACGTCTAACTCGTTACTTTCCCATTTGACTTCCACTCGAGCGATTACCTGACATGTGATATCACTCACCGATCTGCTTAGCGTATGTCCAATTCACCTATAAATTTCCTCATGCATATTTTTTGGGCGATAGGCTTTTGGTTTTGTTCGTTACCGGCCAGACTTTCTTGTCACTACTCCATACAAGCAATCTGATCTTCGGAGATAGAGAAATCAGCTGTTGATAAAAGTCTTCGGTAGTCCTTTCAAAATGTTTTTGGTGACGCCATGGACTAAACCTCTCACCTCTGCTGCAAACTGCAGCAGCTTTCCCGATTGATTTCAGACTGATGAAAGTCTACCTTGCCTTTAGCAATTCTGGTCTTAACATCCTTATGTGTTTGGCGCGCCTGAAGTTGAAACGACGCTGCCTAGATGAGTGAAGGAAGTAACCTCTGTCAAATCTCTCCTATTGATAGTGATTGGTGCTGGTTGTTGTTGCTGTTCGTTGGTTATCTTCATCAATTCCATCTTCTCTCTGTCCAGTTGAATTCCTGTCTTTGATGCTTCTTCTACCAACCTGTTGATTTTCACCTGTAAGTCTTTGAGTTTGTCTGGCATCATTCATAAATCACCCGCGGAATTCAGATCCTCTAGAGTCTTTTATATATCAGTTCAACGTATTCCTGTTGTTTTAGCTCCCCACCCCACTGTTTTCCGCATAATCCAGTTGACTACAATCAGAAATATCATCGGTGACAGTAGACAGCTTTATCTTACTCATATCTCTACGTGAAAGGCTTCGCTTAGCTTTCCATTGTGGATCACTTGATATAACTCTTGAATGAGGTTGATAAAGATTTGCATATTGCACTCTGTAGCTTGTCCAAGGCTTCCTACCGGTTGCCTCCAACCACCTAATATCGTCAAATCAATGTGCATCGTAATGGCGAGCCACGTAGTGGCATGGTGGCCACATTGCAAACTTGACTGCAATAGAAATCAGTCTGCTCTAAAGAAAGGATTAGACACACGTCACACATTACACTAGTTACTGACTAGTGTCCAATCAAAAATATCCAATACAGTCCTACAGGAGGTCAATCGCGAGCCTGAATAACTCAGTGGCAACGCATCTGACTGCAGCACTCACTGGGTGACGCGGGTTCGAATCCCAGAAGGAGGGACATGAGTTCCTTCAAGTTGGTTGCAGATACGCCTTGCAAACTGGTGAGTGCCAACTAGCACGAAACCTAGGTTCAGGCAAGACTTCCTGCCGATTGCCTCCGACCATCTAATATCAACAATTCACAGTGCACCGTGATGGCGAGGATGTCAAATCGAGAATCGGAAAGGCGAGAAACACATTCATCAACCTGAAACCAATCTGGAAATCTTCGTCACTCAGCATCAACAACAAAATTCGGATTTTCAATACAAACGTCAAGTCAATTCTTCTATACGGATCAGAAACTTGGCGGGTCACAAAGAATATTTTCAGCAGGTTGCAGACCCTTATCAACAACTGTCTTCGTTCTATACTGAAGATCAGATGGCCGGAAAGAATCACCAACAAGAAACTATTTGAACAAACAAAACAAGAACCAATCGCCCAACAAATATGCAGGAGGAAGTGGAGATGGATTGGACACTCGCTGAGGTGGAGGCCGCTGGGCGACATCGCACGTTAGGCCAGTGCTCGAGTGGAACCCGAAAGGGAAGCGCCGAGTGGTGACATGGAGGAGATCGTGTGAAGAGCAGCTGAAACAGTATGGATTAACATGGACGCAGATGAAAAGTACAGCAGAAGTACAGAAGCAAGTGTAGATGTGCAGTTGAAGCCCTATGTTTCCCTAGGAACCCATGGGAACAATAATAAATAGTAATAATAATTGATGGCGAGTCACCTTGTGGCATGTTGGCCACATTACAAACTTGACTGCAATAGAAATCAGTCTGTAGCAAACAAAGGACTCGACACACACTACACAATAGTCACTGACTAGTATCTAATCAAAGTACTCTGAAGTGTTGAAAGTGGTGTGTCTCCAAAATTACTTGACGATCGATGCTGTCGAAGCCTTTCTCAAAGTTGATGAAGTTAAGGGAGGCAGGGAGTTAACTGTCTCTTTATACTCTCTGTTTCATTACGATGTACTGTAGCATTGCTATATTCATTTCGCACACACACATATGATTTTTTTTACTTCTTTTAATATTGTTGGTTTATATTTTAAAGCTTGCTGACAGTAAAAGTGAATCACTTGAAAGTATGGCAGCTTTACGGCCTCCTTCTTTGCCTATAGTAAGTTAGTCTTTTGCTAATTATTGTTGTTATTATTATTGAATAATTGTTTATTGTTTTACTGTTATCATGATTATCTATCTTCCTTTTTTAGATATGATGGAGAAGATTTGTAGCTCAGGTGGATGATTCTGATGTAGTTGTGTTCTCTGAGCTAGCTGGATGGTTTATTTGCGAAGCTTTCATTGCTCCCCCCCTCTACTACGCAACATCTTCCGTCAGCGCCTACTTCAATTTGTTGAAGTGAGCTTTTAGATTTCTTCACGAGTTCACCATTAGTCATCTCTCCTGGTGGGTGACCTTGAACGTCGTGATTGGTTGTTTTTGTATGTTTTCGCACCCTCTAGGAGGCTACTTTTGTTGGTATTGGTGTTGATTGTTTCCTTGACCTGAACTTTGAACCTTTGTGTGTGAGATTTCCTTCTTATAAACTGGTAAATTTTGTCTGTGTCGATGTGTCTATTGATTGACGATTCACTGGAATACCGGGTGGGCTTCTAAACATTCTCTAGCATTCTTGGTGTTTTCTCTGTCTAATATTTGAACGTTGGTTGTCGCAGTCGAATTGAGGTCCGTGGTTATCTGTCTGTCTGTCAAATATTAGACAGAGGAAACACCAAGAATGCTAGAGAGTTCCAGTGAATCATCAGTCAATAGACACATCGACATGGACAAAATTTACCAATCGATAAGAAGGAAATCTCACACGCAAAGGGTCAAAGTTCAAGTCAAGGAAACAATCAACACTAATACCAATACAAGTAGCCTCCTAGAGGGTGTGAAAACATACAAAAACAACCAAAGAGTCACTTTCAAGGTCATTCACCAGGAGAGATGACTCATAAACTTGTGAAGAAATCTAAGAGCTCACCTCAGTTCAAATTGAAAAATGCACTAAATAAGTTGCTTCATAAATAAACCATACAGCTAGCTCAGAGAACACAATGATATCAAAAAGAGCTTTTTTTATCTTGTTAAGGATTTATAAATAGGAAACCATAAGTGTGTATGCTCGCCTGATCAGATCATAACAGGCGTCAATCATTACGCCTATCATCTTTCCAACACATGCAAATAGGAGATGTGGTTCATACGATTGTGCGTATTCATTTCAAAATGAAGAAGTAGATCACTGTGATGCTTTGGATTATATACTGATCGATGTCATTTTAGATCGCGAACTGACATGAGTTAGAGGCCCAATGAAAAATCGAGGAGCACTGGACGACATCTGTTTTGTCCGAGTTCTTCTGAACTCAGTGCTAACCACCCATCATCATCATCACCTTTCCGGAAGATCGAACCCAAGACTATTAGATTATGCGAAGCGAACGCATTGACTATTAAGCCTTTGAGACAGAATTTAATAGTGGCTCATGTGAAGACAAATACCCGCCAGCGATGACATTGGCTAGTGTCAGTTTCGCTATATCGTGAATTGTCAAAAGTTGGAATTCATGGGCTGGCTATCGGATCGGGTCTCAGTGGCTCGTCTTGTAACCGGAAGGAGTCATGGGTTTGAACCCTGGTGGTCGGTGCTCATTGATGAAGAGTCTCATACTGGGGGGAAACAATTGTCCAGTACTTTTTGGTGGTTTCCCAAAGGTTCTCTATTAGATTTCAGTTCGTGATGAAATCTTGTAACCGATCAAATCCCTGCAAACCTACACTTGAATTCTAACGTCTATCGATTTTTGCGATATACAGCGTGACCGCTAGCTAGTTTTCTTCAGCCAGTATTTGTCCTCACAGCCGACATAGTGGACACCGTCGTCCTTCCAGAAATTTTAGCGAAACACGAGGAACTGCATCCTTTGATTGAACCAAAGATCTGTGTACGTCATGTTGATGATACATTTGTAATAATTAAAAGAAATGCGATTTGGAATATACTCATAAATTAATAAACAACATATTTGAAGACATCAAATTGACCAAAAGAGAAGACGAATTAGACCACAAAATTCCATTCTCACATGTTTTAATCAAGAGAACTAAGACAGGAAGTTTAGAAACACAAGTATACTGGAAAATCAACGCACACAGACCAAATACTCAACTATGATAGTAATAACTCGATTACTCAAAAAAGAAACTGTGCGCAGACATTGTTTAAAAGAATTCAAACACACTGTAGCACTCCAGCGTTTAAAAAAATGGAAGAAAAATACCTACAAACGGTCTTCAAAAAGAATGGATATCCTCACAATTTCATCAAAAAGTGTTTAAACTCGAGTCATAACACCAACAACAACAAGCCAACATTAAAGACCACAAGAAAATTCATCCTACCATAGATAAAAAATATCTCCGAAATAACAGGTAGAATATTGAGACCGTTTGAAATAGATATAGCGCACAAGCCACCCAGCCAGACAGCACAATCACTTCATTCGATATTGTGCAAACCAAAAGACCCATCCAACTGAAAAAGAAGATAAAATTCATACCATTTACAAAATAAATTTAATGAACTGTAGCAGACATTACATTGATCAAAGTGGGCATCCTGTTCGAATCTAAATCTAAGGACGAAAATCACCTGTGAAGAGACGTGATATGTATTTTTTCATTATCGATGTGTGTAGACAACTACGGACACCAATTTGATTGGGACAATGCCAGGGAATTTTTAGAAGCCTGGTACTCAGATGAACCAACGACTAACGGACCCACACATTACTATAGATCACATTTGGTTGGAGGATTTCATCATGAACTGAAGCCAGTTAGAGAACCATTGGAAAACCTGGGAGTACTGCCATACAACTGTTTCTTCCTAGATTGGGTCTCTTCATTAGTACTCACCCACCCACTAGGCTGACGAAACAGCTGGCTGTCCAGTACTCCCAGCTAGCTTTCCAGTGGTTCTCTAACTGATTTCAGTCAGCTCATGATGAAGTCCTCCATCCAATCAAATAAAATCCCTACAAAACCAATACTTGAAAATTATTATTGTCTGAGTATATTTTTTTCTCTGCTTAATAGGTCGTTTTATTATTATGAAGTCAGTGACATTCAACTGCGTATTCATTATTGTTATTATTATTACTATTATTCGTGATGAAGATAACCAACCAACCGACAACGACAAGCACCAATCACTATCTGTGGCATAAATTTAAAAGAGGCTACTACCTTCCTTCACTTATCTGGCTAGTGAGCATCGTATCAACTAAAGCCACGTCACACGGGTGAGGATGTCAAAACCAGCCAGAATCGAAAAGACCAGAAAAAAGAAAACGTCATCACTCTGAAATCAGTTTGGAAATCACCTGTACTCTGCAACACAAAGAACAAAATTCGGATTTCAAACACTAATGTTCAGTCAGTTAGAATTTAATTGGTGGATGGTGACTAGCAGTGGAATCCAGTCCAGGATAACGCGCATTTCGCTCTATTTGGGACTCGTCTGCGAGCTGGATGTACCTGCATTCCCCAGTCAGATAGTTTTCCCACCGAGGCTCGAACCCAGTGCCCATAGTTTCAAACGCCAAAACGTCGTTATCCACTAGACCACTTGGGGCAGGTACATCCAGCTAGTTGACGAGTCCCAAATAGGAGGAAATGCGCGTTGTCTTGGATTCCACTGCTAGTCACCATCCACCAATTATCTTCTAATTACATACCCAGACATCGTCGAAGCATCTGTACAAGAAGCCGACAGACACGTCAGCCTGAGACCGAGCACTTCTGTCCAATCAATTGACGGGAAAATCTAAAATTCAATTGAATAATAATTAATATGATCCGTTACACAAGAGGTGGCTCGCGTAGCCCAAGTGGCCTAGTGGATAACGACGCTTTGGCGTTTGAAACTATGGACACTGGGTTTGAGCCTCGGTGGTGGGAACACCATCACTCACTCACTGGAGAATGCAGGTACATCCAGCTGGCAGACGAGTCCCAAATGGAACGAAATTTGCGTTCTCCTAGATTCCATTACTAGTCCCCATCCACTAATTAAGTTAAGTCAGTTGGTTCTTCTATATGGATCAGAAACTTGGCTAGTAGTGGGTCACGAATATCATGTTGAACAGAATACTGCAGACTCTAATCAAAACCTACTGAGGACCAGATTTCCAGTCACATAAAGTAACCAACAATCAACTCTGGGAATGAATGAGTGAAGAGTTTATTGTCCACCAAATATGCCAAAGAAAATGAAGATGGATTGAACACACACTGAGGAAATCGTCTGGTGACATCCTATACTTGTCCGTCGCTCAAGTGGAACCCGAATGGGAAGCGACGAGTTGGGCATGGAGGAGGTCATGTGAGGAGCGAACATGAAAGCTTCTGGGCAATAGTGGAGTCATCTTAAAAGTACTTCAGAGAACTGGACAAAATGGAGATGTATACTGTTGACCCCCCCCCCCCCCGGTGCCTATGTTCCACACTTAGAATGCTAATGGGACAAGCAAAAGGGGGAGAGAGAGAATTATTATCATAACACTGATTGTGATATCTGTATTAGAAAAAGAGTAGACGTTCAGCGAAGAGACTCTTTTCGACGGCGAATTCATTCACATATCTGTACAATTGCATTTATATATATGATTATTTGTGTGTGTCTACATGAGGTTTGTCAAGTTTAGATAATTAATCAGGCAATACAAGAATGATCTAATATAGAAACAAGGTTAATCAGACAGCAACTAAAGTAAGACTGGGTTAGTAAGTTAGATGACCTAATATAAGTGACTAAAAGGTTTCAACTCAGGTTAGGATAGCAACAGAGGTAATTACAGGTAAAGACTATGTAGAGGTGGGGTAGAGAATAATGCTATTTAAATTAGAACTAAAAAGTGAGCAAATAAACCGGATGACTTAACATAAATGACTAGAAATTGAGTGTTGGTCAAGTCAGTAACAGTGGTAATAAAGTGTAGAAATTAAATCGGGTTGGGGTAGACAACATATAAAATTTTGCAATTGAAAAGTGAAAATAATACTAATGAAGAGACAGAAAGAAAGGAATAGAATTTATCTATCGGGTATCAAGACAGATTATGTCCATTACAAGTGTAGTGATTGAACGAACGTCTTCTGTATGCAGAGTTCAGGGCTTATAGCAAGAGTGAATTTCCATTGCTTCTGAAGTTTGAAGAAGTTTGATTCGTACACCTTTAGGAAGACTACTTCGTATTCTGTAGACGACTTTGAAGTTTGTTTGGGGAGTGTAGTTTGGTGTCCAGAATCTATCAGATGTTCTAAGATAGAGCAGCTGCGGGGGCATCGTTTTTCTTCTTTGTAAAACCATGCTGGTAAGTGTTCGGTGATACGTTGGGGTACGGCTGGCATACTTGGCTCCACACTAGCAGGTGAATTGGTAGATACACACTGATGTGAGGCCCAGTCAGCAGTGGTAGCTTATCCTTCACGTTCATACGAATCATAGGTTTCGTGGAGAAGAGGTTAGTCGTAGTTATATTGACATTTGAAATGATGTTTAGAAGTCAAAGATAGGATTATCCGTGGGAAAAAGTCAATAGTGTATTGAGACTTGAAGTGATTCGATGAATCTCTGCTTATTCTCATTTTTTAGGAGGGTGTAGTTTGTAGTTTGTATATCTATTGGTGAGTAGCTTACTTACTTACCTGCATACTTATTCAACAAGTTATTCATAAGTGTTTGTGTGAATGTGTGTATGTACTACTACTCTAGGGGATCGATTGTTGACAGAATCTTGTCGTAAGTCATCTAGTCCCAGACCTAATGTGATACATTCTATCTGCTGATCTTTCCTGGTCGTCTCATATCTTGATGATTTCTAAGAAAATATTCCGTCTAACCTTCTACATCAAGAAGTTAACAAATTCTGGTGTAACCCTAACCCTTACTCTTACGATTTGTTAACTCTTGCATCCTACCTATTATTCTCTATTGTTCCCCCTTAGTTTTTCCAGGGTTACTGAAGAAAGACTACATCTTATTACGTAGGATGTTAAAGGTTGTCCGCAGGGTAAGCAGTGTGCCACTTAACCAGCTTGTTAATATTCTAGTCGACAGGCACTTGGACTCATGCGAAAAATGGGCTAAATCCATTCTATCTAACTCACACTACTCTCTTCAATCACAACTCTCCCCTTGTATCTCATCAGGCAAAACCCGAAGCCTATATTGAAAACTATATGCTCGCACTAGCAAGTACAAAAACTCAACCATACCCTACTTGGCTCGTGTTCTGTGCAATAAAGAAAGCATTAGGCGTGACACCTATAATTCATTAAATAGTCAATAGAACAATTGGATTTCATCTTTCCAACTCAAATCATTTATAGGTACAACGTTTTCTTTCTTTCCTTTCCTTTTCTCTCTTTTTGTTATGTGCTGTTTTGTTTCTCTCTTCCTTAAAAAACTCAATTGAAACATTCTTCTTCGTTCTTTCACACTCTGTATATCTCGACGTTTTTGTTACCGCTTACACCAGTAAATATGTTAGTATCTACTTTTCTAACACCTTCAAACATTCTGTTCACTTTCGGCTTTGCTACCGACATGCCAATATGTTGTTGTCAAAACTAACTGAGATTACCCTTAATCTATGTAGAATTTTATTGATTGTTAATGTACCACTGTAGTAAAAATGCTGAGATTTCCATTCTTTATCACAAGTACTGTTTTGGAATGAAGCAAATTATTATTATTATTATTACAACAGCTTCTTCAAGTTGAGCCCCATTCAACACCTGGTAATTTATGTATTCTATATATTCTTCCTTTCATTTAGCCTGATATCCTTACACCTTTTAAGAAATGAAACGTTGTCACTCAATGATCGCTTCCTGATACGACTATTTCAATTTCACATTGAAGAGATTTCCTCACGAATAATTAATGTCGGTTAGAGAATTATTGAAGACCATAATTCCTGAGACAGCTGTTTCATTATACTAGTTTAAAAATTGTTTATCAGCAGTGTTCAGCCTACGACCCCACCAGGGAACCGGTTCGTTTAGCGTTCAGTCAGTGAGTTCTAACGTTTTGCGCCTTTTCGCGCCACCTCTAACCAGCTTACTTACAAGTGGCTACTGAATGAATCTCCTGAAGTCCCAACGAGATGTTGTGGCCAGCAGGATCCCCTATGTCAGGGTGATGTGGATGGCTTATCAATGTCATTGGTTCGGAATTAAAGCTACGCAGTGAATTGTGAGTGAGGGGTAGAACTCACCGTTGGTTTTTTGAATTCATCGTAATCTGAAGGTGCTGGGTTCGATCTCTGTTGATGGGATGGTTGGGGTGGTGGTGGGGGAAATGATCATCGCTGCGCACTGATAATAGCCCCTTTCCAGATTTTAACACAAATGATGTTCAAAAGTGCCTCAAGTCTCTGAACCCTTCCCAGAGCTTAGTTCCAGATCATGTACCTAGTATTATTTTCAAAAAATGTTCTGATATTCTATGTTACCCTCTCACTGATCTGTTTAACAAATCTTTTTCCAGTAATATTGTGCCTGCTATTTGGAAAGACATTAAAGTTGTACCCATACCTAAATCGTCTACTGGAGCATGTGTCAAATTTAGACCCATTGTTAGTACCTCTCTTTTTTTGAAAACTATGGAGAAACTACTTTTACGTAGTCTTGTACCCCCTCTTAAATCCTTTAATGACCCAAAACAGTTTGCTTATAAGCACAGTAGAAGCACTTCAGATGTAGCTGCCGTCTTATATCATAACATTGCTTCCAGTCTAGACAAAGGGGCTAAATTTGTTCGTTGTGCCTTCCTAGACTATACATCTGCTTTTGACTCGGTCCCTAGGGACATCTGATTAAATAAACTTGCTGCAAGTCAAACGGAATGTTGGGCTGTTAACTGGTTACATTCCTGTTTCTCAGAAAGAAAGCAGTACACCGTGTATAAAGGGAAGTCTTCCACTTCATTGCCTACTGAAGCTGGTGTCCCTCGAGGCGCTGTCCTTTCTCCTTTTCTTTTCTCTTTCTTCTTACATGACTTGCCTCAGTTTGATGAAATAAACTTTGTGAAGTACGCTGATGATTTAACTGTTTCAATGGCTGTTAACTCCCAGCTAGATTGTACCAAAATAAATAGCTTTCTGTCGGGAGTCAGTAAATGGTCTGAGTCTAACGGTCTTAAACTGAATCCTTCTAAATGCCAAACTGTCAATTTCAGCTTAAGATGTAAACGACAGTTAAAAGAAGCCGTCGATTCTCATGACAGTTGTAAGATTGATGACAATGATACAGGAATTAAATCAGAAATTAAGTATCTTGGACTTATTCTCTCTTCTGATCTCTCCTGGTCTTCCCATGTCTCAGCGATCTCCAGTAAAATATTCCGCCTGACATTTTACATTCAGAAGAAGTTAAGGCACTCGGGTATAACTTAACCCCTACTCTTACAGTTCATAAACTCTTGTATCCTACCTATTCTTCTTTATTGTTCACCCTTATTCTTTCCTGGTTTGCTTAAAAAGGACTTTGTCACATTTCGTAGAATGCTGAAGACTGTCAGTAGGATGAGTGGTGTCCCAGTGGACTACATAGTTAACGTCGTTGTCGATAGACTCTTGACTTCGTGCAATTAATTTGCTAGAGGGATTTTGTCTGACTTGGAGTATCCACTTCACCCTCAGCTCTCACCTTGCATCTCCTTAGGTAGAACAAGAAGTAACTTCAGAAAACTGTATGCTCGCACGTCTAAGCATAAAAATTCTATGATACGATACTTGACACGTATTTTATGTGATGAAAATAGTGTCAGGCAAGAATTGACTAACATTTTTTCGCCTAGTAAATAAACAATCTCCTCCATCCATCTTTATATACCTTCAAGTATTACTTTTATTATTTCTATTATATTTATAGTCCTGTTAGTTCGTCACGAAATCCCTATAGAAACCTACATAATTTAACTATTTCAATTCTTTTACTAATTGTGATTGACATCCTTGGTGTACAGAATTCTTCATTTTTTTCGGCAGTTTATTGCTGTTTCTTATTTATTTATTTTTTTTTACATTTTTTTTCCTACAGGATCCTTATTGGTCCCCAGTGGATATTCAACTAGTCTGTCATGCAATCGGTGATTTAGGACTTGATTATGTGGCGATTGCTGAACGTTTGATCAATAAAACACCGACTATGGTAGCCAAATTCGTACAAATGTACGGTCAACAACTTAATCTCCATCAGTTAGCGTCATTATCACCGTTAATTGTGCTTTAAAAAAAATATTTTTTGTAATGATTACTATGATTATTATTATTATTACGAGTATTGTTATTACTGTATTATTATTATTACTGTTATTGTTATATTTGAGTATATTGTAAATAAAATAAAATTCCTACCTCTTGGGGTTGATCTCTGACGAAATCTCTTCACGGATACAGAAGGGTCGTTTGGAATTTGCTGCTGCTAGCTTACGCAATCTCTGGCTTAGTAGACGTGATATCTGGTTGGCTGGCTGGCTATCGATCAAACGATAGGTCTACTGCACGGCAGCAGTTCGCTCCATCTTCCTTTATGGCTGTGAGTGAGGCATAGCCATTGAAAGTGGAAGACACGAAAAGCCTGCGTTCTGTCTCTCATGTTATGTTAGGTGGTATAATAATGTAACAACGGAAGACAAGGGCCAGGCAACAGATCAGTTTTATTACGAAAACCAACAGGTATTTATATGTATTTTACGTACATTAATAGGCTTCTGCCCGCAGAAAGAAGGCGGTCTTCTGATTGGTTGTTTGCAAACAAACGCAGTCTTCTGCTTTCTCGTTTTCGATATTTCTCGGAAATGCGAGCCACTTGTCTGCGAATCATATTTGTCCACGTCTAGGTCAGCTGTGATCGGTTGTTGAATCAGCCTAGATTAATTTCTACCAATCAGCGTAGAACAATGTCTACCAATCGGCTAGCAGCTTGCTCTCACCACAATAATATCAACAGTTCAAAGTGCACCGTGATGGCAAGCCACCTAGTGGCATGGTGGCCACATTGAAAACTCGAATGATCAAATTCAGTGTGCATCAAATAAAGGACTAGTCAGGTTACACTAGTTACTACATAGAGTCCAATAAAAAGGTGAGTGATATTGAGGTTAGGCGTCGAGTGCTAGGTAAGGAGGGAAAATCAACTGATTAGGTTGTGAAGTTACACCGTTTGAGATGATTAGGACATAGTTTACGCATGTCTAGCCACCAATCGCCTTCCTCGACTGGTAGTGTTAACTGCTGACATATGATGGATCAAGTTAAAAAAGGGGCAGTGATGGTCAAACGAGAAAACCTGTCTTCTTCATCAGTCAATGAAATCCATAACAGTTAGTTCGAGCCAGCCAGTCACGTAGGGATGTGTGGACTGCTGTCTGGTTGGTGTCCTCGGGATAGTGGGAACCAATAATGGCTGGAGACAATTGGTGGTATGGCTCAAAATCTTCGTTCTCAATGATGGCTAGCGCAGATACATTCACTCTTTGTTATTTGTCATATCGAACAAAACTGTATTGTTTCTTCCATATTACTATTCATTTTACCTAGCTCACACTTCTGTTTACTATCTGTCTTTTGATGACTCTCTTATCTTGGTTTGTGTGCTAAATGGAGGGAGAGTGGCAACTTGAACTAGTGTATGTTGAAACTGGTCAGTAAGTCAATTGACGGATTCTGTGGCTAGTGAGCACCAGAATGTGTTAGATGACGTAGCATAATTCACAGGATTGAGTAGAACTTGACCAAAATGAAATGGAGTTGAGTTAAGAGCAGGTCATATAAGAAGTAGAAATATAGCCATGAGAAGACAGAAAAATTAAACTTAAACAAAATTAAGAAATTCGGATTGACAAGCTTTACGTGTTATGTGTTGAGACAAATTAGGCTCATTGTAGGTTCAGTGACTGAACAAGCTTCTTCTGTGTACAGAGTTCTAGATTTAACAGGTGGACTGTTACAGTTTCTGTGGTTTGAAGAAATTTGATTCATGCTACTTTGGTGAGGTCGCGTATTACGTAGATGACTCTAAAGATGGTTTTTGGGTTCACTCAGTGTCTAGACTTGATTAGGTGTTCCACAACAGAACTGCAGCTGATGGGTGGAGATCTTTTTCCTCCTTTGTATAGTCATGAGGGTAAGTTTTCCATGATAAGTTTAGATAGGGAACATTGAGTACGGCGGACATACTCAGCTGAAGACTGGCATAGTAATTGACACTTTGTATAGTAACGTAACTGTTATCTAAAACTTACAATATTTATAATATATTAGATTTCGAGCTTGTGTCTCTACTATTGTTTTAAAGACTGAATGATAAGTTTGTTTGCCTCACTTCCTATAAGTTATGAATTCGATTCTTGGATATTATTATTGTTTCCTTTAATTACTACAAGAACATAGGAAATCAGACACATCATTGGCGAAGTTCAGATCCTCCAAGTTTTTTGTGTGTGTGCATTTTATGCCTGTTTCCTCGTTACCCGGCCCGCCGCTGTCTGTCGCATTATCCGGTCTACTGCAACCAGGAAAATCATTGGAGATAGTAGGCACTCAGTCGGTCACACTCCCATCTTCACTTCGAAGGATTCTGTAAGTTTCCCGTTGTGGATTACTTGGTGGCATGCAGCACTGTCGTACAACTGTTGGATGAGATGTGTAGTTGTTGGCGGCACCCCGTGGTAGTAGGGAATTAGTTACCAAATCACCTCTCGATCGACGCTGTCTTCTGAAGGCCTCTTCGAAGTCAATGGAGCTGAGATAAAGAGGTGACTGCCATTCCAAGCTCTGTTCAATGATGATCCGTAGTGTTGTAATTTGATCGATGCATGACTTGTTTCTCCTGAATCCAGCGTATTCCGGTAGAAGTTTTTCATCCAGGTTGGCGTGTTTGATTCTCTCAAGGATGATGCGGCTTAGTATTTTGCTTGGTATGGACAGGAGCATAATTCCGCACCAGTTCTTCCATTGATCTAAGTCCCCTTTCTTTGACAGTTTGAATAAATGGCCTTTCTTCTAATTCTCAGGTACTTTGCCTTCTTTCCACATCTTCTCCAGTAGTAGTGTCATGAAGTTCGCTGTTGTCTCTGGGTCCATTTTCAATGCTTCTGTTGGGATTCCGTCTGGTTCTGCTGCTTTTCCAGCTTTTAGCATCTTGATTGCCTTCAGGATTTTTGTTTTCGTTGGAGGGTTGATGTCCACTGGTAGTTCTGCTTCCGTTGTTGGTATTGTTGGGCGCTTTGTAGGTGGCGGTCGATTTAGAAGTCTTTTGAAGTGTTTCCTTTGCTCCATCTCTTTGGTGATTGACTTTTACATTGTCATCCTTCACTGGCTTAATTTGTGTCGAAATTTCCCCCGATAGGTACCTAGTTGTTTGGTAGAGTGTTGTGAGGTCTCCTTTGCCTGCACTGCAGCTTGTTCTGCTTCACTTGCCATTCCTAAAGAATCCTAAACTCAGAGTCAGAAAACACTGGCCTTCTGCGTAGTTTCATTGGTTCTTGAACTGTAGTGTAGTGGAAACTTCAAACAAACAAATGTATCAGTAAAAGGGAAAAGAAAAACAAGTTCAGCAAAGATGTTGATCTTTTCGGCGATTTCATTCTCAAAAGTACCTGTACAATCGCATTCCGCATAGTAACGAAGAAGATTAAGGGTCATAATAATTTTCAACTTGATGTGAAAGTTTGAAGGTGTGAATATAGATTAAAAGGGCGCTTAGTGACAAGATCACAGGATTAGAAAATAGTTATTTTTAACGACTAAAGGTGTGAATGGGATGAGCATGGGAACAAGTTGAAAGAATAATATTTTAAAAACTGAAAAATAAGGGGGAAATTAAGTGGATGAAACAACAGGACTTAAGGAGACATACCGAACTTGATCCATGGTAAATGTAAGAGTTGAACCAGTTACTTTTGAACACATACCTCCGGTTTTTCGAGGCATATAAAGAGGGCTTCTGCAGTACAAAGAAGTCGGAAACACACTGACTGCCTTTGGTAGGTAGATTTTTGTTTATTTTGTAAATGACTCTGAATGATCGATGAGTGAGTCAGTTGAGATGCTGCAACAGGTGTTGACGACGAGGTGTTCAGTTATGACGCTGTTGATTGAACCAGTGCCTCCTCTTTATAGCCATGCTGGGTAATGTCCTCCAACACGTTTTGATAGGAGCTGCATAGAACGATGTATATACCTAGCTCCACACGAACTAGGAGCTGATGTATTCAGTCTCTTTAACCTTCATATTCCTTTCTGTCATTACTCATTCTGTTTCACTCTTATACTTATCGAAATTCTATTGATTCTCTTCACTCTCATCTTCTTGTCTACCTTTGTGTGCTATTTTGGAACGTGGCAACTCGAACTGCTGCAACTCGGTGCCAAGTTCTATGTTGAATCCAGCAGCAGCAGCAGCTCCACACGAACAGGTGAACTGATATATTCACACTGATGGGGTCATATGCGGAAGTCTGTCCTTCACATTGCTCTGAAGCAGTGGGCGGCTAGAGAAATATCACTCTTAGAGTTGCTGCAAGAAAAGTCTTCCTTAAGGAACTGGAACTGTTAAGTTTCTCCTGAATACCAGATTCAAATAATCAGTATCAGTGACCTTCATCAGATTAATTGAGCTAAAATTGCAAATTTTGATGAGAAAAGACTAAATTTATGGAATTTATAAAGTGTCTGGGAGAGTATATAGATACATTAAACGTGATGCTCTTGATTGACAATTTTCTTTTGCCAGTATCGATGGTTCCGTGGTAGAATCGCTCGCCAAACAGGCACGAAGTTTGATTCCTGGCTGGCACCCGTCAAATCCTTGCCCGGTCGGTCGGTCGGTCGGTTTTCGACATAGAACTTTGCACATATGTGCGGCAGTTCAAGTCGCCACAATCTATGTAGCACGCAAAGCAAGAGAAGGAAGTAAAAGAAATGCATAATGGAAACAGTAAACAGAGGTGTGAGACAAAGGAATAGTAATAACGGAGAACAAAACAGTTTAATTGGAAATCATAAGTCACAAGGAGTGGATGCATCTGCGCCAGCCATCACTGAGAACGATTTTGAGCCATGTCACCAATTGTTTCCAACCATTGGTTTTTACCGTCCCGAGGACCCCAACCAGGAAGTCTACATCTTCCTACGTGGCTTAGACTAACTGTTGTAGATTTCATTGATTGGTGCCATGTTTTCGTTTGACCGCCGCTAGCTCTTTTCCAGCCTGGCCCTATATCAGCTAACATTGCCCGTCGAGGAAGGCGATGACTAGGCATACGTAGCACATGTCCTAACCATCTCAGTCGAAGTAATTTCACCGTTTCGTCGATTGATTTCC